AGTATTCTCCGACGTGACACGCCGCGGGCTGCGGCCTCGTACGTGCCCTTGGCGAATCTTGATAAACAGGTCGAACTATTTCTCAATTCCTTTGATAAAAGTGATGCGTATAATGAAGCTGTAATTTATTAATTAATTACTCTAATGCTTTATCCCATTAATACATACGTGCACTACTGTCCAATGCAATTAAGAAACTACTCTTGTATATATTTTCTGCATCAGTGTATTATTTAATACTTTTCCCTTGTATTTTATTGTTAAAGATTTTATAATTTTATTATAGAGTGCACTAGTGTGGACTGGTCTTGCTGAATCTTGGAGATCATATGTGCAATCTTTAGAAGTACCTCCAGTTATGCTTACACAGGAGGAATTTTTAAAAGAAGTGAGGAAAATTAATCCATTAGTTTCTTTAGAACATTGTAGACACCTTGGATTACAATTACAGGTTTGTATTTCTGTTTTCTATAGTTTCTTAATTTATTTTTCATTCTTGATACATGAATTAGATGTTACTTTTCAGAATTTAGGGGAATGTATGCTTCTTCCTGGGAATTTAGTAGTATTAAGTCCAGAATGGTTTTGGCAAGATGTAATAAACTGGCAGTTAAGTCTAGAACAACGAGGTCGTCTTGGTGGTCGTACTACAGGTGTTTATGCTTTAGAAGATTTTCAGGCTCGTTGCCCTTGTCCTGCAGGACAAGCTTTACAAGCATTACAGGCCGTAAATTTGTGCGTGCCGGTATGTATATTTTTATATATCTATTTAATGATCTTAACTTTTTGTGTGTTATAAAACAACGTAATTTTATTTCAGTGCGAGGTAGATGATGATGAAGTAGAATATGAAATTCCATGTTTAAATCTCGTTGAACGTTTACCAGGATTATGGGAACCATGGAAATCATGTTCTAATGTTATGCCTCATACTGGTCTTCGTCTTTCTCCATCTGAAGCACCTTTATATCATTTGATTGCAGTATTTCCGCATTTACAAGTATGCTCTAATAATAAGCACCTACGTAATGTTCGCGTTTTGTATTTATAATCGACATTTTGATAATGATATAATATTGTATAGGCACAGTTGAGAAAAATCACTCAAACATGGGATCCATCGAACTCAGATTTATATCAGTGGTGGAGGGGATCCAAATTATGTATTGGACCTTGCGAAAGTATTATTACTTTCGAAGAAGAAGAACAAAGTTGCATAGAGATAAGAGTACGCGGACCGCGAGGTACTAACGCTCAATGTTTCGCTCTTTTCAGCATTATTCTTGATGCTATAGAGACAACGATTGAATTAGTTGCACCTGGTATGTTACTTGAAAGATATTGGCTAAGTCCTAGTCAACTTCGAGAATATGATGAGGTTAGTTGCTTAATAATAAATAAATTAGAGTAATGTAATATAATCAAAGTGTACTTAATGTGTTTCGTATAATTTCACAGGTAATACATTCATGGGAACCAGCACCAATTATATCGGCTTTAATTGATAAAGGTCTAGAAGAAGCAACACTTAAAAACCCTTTAAATGGTCAAGAAGAAACTGTGTGGGAAATGGTAAGTTGTGGACTACCATTAATAGAAAATTGTCTTCCTGGGCCAAAGCAGCCAATAAAACACATCAAAGCTGCTGTACAAAGAAGATTAGCGCAGATGCTCGATCCACCTGATCGTCATGGAAGAGATTGGTGTTTACTTGCTGTAAGACTAGGTTTAGGAGATCGAGTCGCTCAATTAGATAGTACAGTAGACAGCCCAACATTGAGGTAAGGAAAGATCGTTATTTATTATAATTTTTAATTAATTTGGTACTTCATAAAAATTGTTATTTCATAGATTATTTAATACGGCGGGTGCTGATTGCACTGTAGGGTCTTTAATACAACAACTACGTGCTCTTGATCGAGAAGACGCTGTACATCTTTTGCTCTCTTATACACCAACATACGTATTGTCAACGGCTACTGACTCTGAGACAGGATCTAATCTTTCTAGATGACAATGTTGCATTTATCAATGGTGCATTAATACTTTCTGAGATTCGGATTTCTGAAGAAAGGTGTTTTCCTTGGTATGGGTTTGATAAACTTATTACGTCACCGCTTCCGCCCAACATAAATTGTGCATTGCTCTTTAAGCTAAGTACATACATTGTAGTACATTGTTTGTGTACTTCTTTAGAGGTATGTTGAAAGGCACATGCACTGATGTGTACTTTTATATCATAATACTAGAGCACACTTCAAGTGGCACAAAATTCTTTTAATATATTCTTTTTAATATATACATATACACCCATTTATATCGTTAGAAAATTGCATAATTTACATGAAGTTTTGTATCTTTTCTTATAAGTTCTTATCATTCTGAAATACCATTATTTATCAAATAAAAATATCAAATTTAAGTACATTTGTTAGCATAAAAGATATTTATAATTCTATATTTTTGTTAGTTTTGCAAATATTTACTTAATAAGATCTATATAAACGACGTTTTAATTTTTAATATTTAGAGTTTCTTTTTAATTGTGAAATATTTGTAAGCGTTTGTATTGTGATATTATATGGTATGATTAACTACATCTTTAATCAAGTTTCTTAAGTAAATTTGTATTAGACAAAATGATTCTAAATATTGTGTATGCACGCGCGTAACTCATAAAACGCATTTACACATTATATAACACGATATTATCGTATTTGATACTAATATTATTTTGAAAGCTTTTCTTGATATGCATATATACTGTATCTTGCCAAAACTCAGTGTCAATATACGCTGCTTCTATGATATTTAGACACTATTTATGCAAAAAAAGAGTGAAAAAGTTCGCACAATTCTTTGCTTTTGGTACATTTACGAAAGCTCCATTCTTATATGGACATTTTTTACTAAATCAACATTCCTAAAATATTTATTATGTGCCATAAATGAGACTTGCTCATCTATATCTATTAAAACGTTTGAAACGTTTCTCGAAAAATTTCTAAATTGATCCTTCTGTTACTGTTTGAGAAAATGAAGCACTGTCCTATTAACGACTTGTAGTTAAAATTGTGAAGGATCACTGTTTAAAACAATCTCATATAATGACAATGGATTTTGACATAAGATTATTCATGTTTTATAGGCACAAGAATATTATCGAAACACAAGGTGCACTATTCATGTGCAATGCACATGAATGTACTTATATCATTAAAAACCAGTCAGATTTATTGTTCATGGAAAACTTATTCTTTGAACATATCTATTATATATTAACTCTACCCAATGGACACTGCTTATATATATAGCGTGTTAAATAGAAAATAATTTGTATTCTTATCCTACATGATGCAGTGTGTGATACAAATTTGAAATGTCTGGGAATAATTGAATATAATACGAATGTAGGAACATAATAAAAGTAGTGTCTCTAATTAAAAATATGTCACAAATTAGGTGTCATATTTTTCTTAGTATATGTAAAATATTTTTGTTTATTCGTATGTGTTTATTATATAATGAAAATTTACTATAATAGTATATATTTATGTAGATTTGAATTATCGAATTGTTTGGTACTCAATTATATTTGGACTTAAATTCAAGCCCAAAAATTTGCATTTTTTACGCTATGTGTTCATTTTATATTTACATTTCAATGTTTGAAGTATTAAATTTTCTAATGTTGTGTATTCTGTGAAGAATTGTTTTCGTATTGATTTATGTCGAATTACGATAAAATGTTTGCTCCTGAAAATTTTTTATTGCTCAGTATTGTTAATTAATTATACAAAGTATATATATGTTTGTTTAAGGAAAAAATAGCTTTATGATTAACTTTAAAAACACGTTCAATTTATCCAATACGCTTTAGAATTTGTGTTTTGTAGTTTTCGCTTAGTACAACATAGAAATAGTTACATTTAAGGCTAGATTCAACGGTACGAGATTATGCGCAACAAAGACATTTTGCAGAATAGAATATCGAAAAATATAAATATGAATACAATAAATCATTGTTATTCATATCTAGTAAAAATAGAAATATAAAAATCTTGATTTTGTTATGATTAATAATATTTAAAATTTTTATAATAACTTCGGTATCGAATGAAATTATACTTTTTAAACCTGATCTGTAAATTTACTTAAAAGCTATAATTAGTGATGCTAGCTACGAAAAAATTATAACTCGATGATATTTACCACTAAGAAATTATACTTGAAATTATAATCAAAATTAATACGGAAGTACTATATTAGCATCCTAATACCCTGAACTTCTGAAATAACAAAAAATAATTATTGTAATATAGAATAGTTCTGTAAATTTCTATAATGTACTATGGATTACATAACAAAAACTTTTAAAATAATTGATGCAAAGTGTCAAAAAGTTGCGTTAAATTTTGTTCGTCATATGTTGACTTAATAAAATGTACTTACTTATGTTTCTTATCCATACCTTTGTAAAAATATCTTGTCGACTGTAATAGAAGCGAATACGAATTCTTAATAAAAACCTATTATATGCTGCGCATTTATTTGTAATGACAAAGGATAAGAAATATATTAGCTGAAAGAGATGTGTAATTATTCCTTTTATACTAGAAAAAGATGTCAATAAAACCATGTTGCTTCATAAGTGAATTTTAATTCGTAACAAAACTATTATGCCTCATAACTATCAAAACGATAGAATTCCCGCGTTTTCAACGTGTATTGCGATCGTAGTGCGTCGAGTTCTAATCGATGGATCGACTGAGATTGTCGGCAGAAGCGGGAAAATTTAAATATCACAAAGACAGCGTGGACGATGTGGCGCGAAACTAGAAATTTTCCAAGATATTGGAAAACGGGAGAGTGTTTCCCACTATGGTATTTATGTAGACTAGGTTACGTAGCCGACAGGAAATAAGAACGGAATTCCTTCGAGCCGAGAATAGCATAAGGGAGGTGGAGATCGCGTTTCGTTGGTAGTCAGTGCAGCGAACAGCAATCAGCCAGTAAAGAGCCGGGATAAAATCGGGACGACAGCCAACAAGGCGACAAGCAATTATAGAATTGGATTGGATCGAGAAGTTCGAGGAGGCCTGCGACGCCGGTTTCGTTTTATTTTAGCTTAGCTTTCGAAGGCATCCGGTTGTGCATTCTCATCGCGGATCATCGCCACGATTACAGTGAGTGTTGTCCCCCTTTTAACTCTAACTCGTCTTTTCTTCCGCACTGTTTGTTATTAAATGTTGCTTACCGGTGAGTAGCCACGGTTTGGTGCCGCATGAGTGCTGGGTCGCTCGTTTCTGATACCGAGTATCGTCGAACGGTACTGGCTGAAGTAAGTACTGCGTTTCGTATTATACCAAATTGAATCGAATTCAAAGTTGTTCCTCCATCTTTTATAAAAAGAACGTTTTATAAGAAGGATTACTTTTTTATTACCTCATCTCCGGTATTTTTTATGGTGTTGACTCGATTGGTACATTTGAGTTAGACCAACGTAAGGTAACACTATCTTTAATTTTGAGGTTGTAAAAGGTTATTAATGCAGACTTGTTATAAAAATTTCTCATATGATTTCCATTTATCTTTTCTCGAACAAAGAATAGGATACAAGATTATGTTTATTTCCACGATGTATTAATTAACTTTACCGCTAACAAACTTTATAACTGTCGATATAATATAATTAAGTTGTTGATAAGTTTGACGAATTTACCAGGTTCAAGCCACGAACGAAGGATAACCAAGAAAGGATAAAAGGGGAGAAAAACACAAGTCGTCATCATGGAGGCGATTAAGAAGAAGATTGCGGCGCTAAAGCAGGAGATGGATGCCGCCAATGAAAAAGTCGAGGCGAATGAAGCGAAAGCGAGATCGGAGAACTTTCGAGCAGACAAGCTGAACGACGACGTAAGAGATCTACAGAAGAAGCTGGCTCAGCTCGAGCGAGATTACACAGTTACCAAGGCGAATTTAGAGCAGTCTACTGCCGATTTGGAACAATGCGAAAAATCTTGGTCTAAGGTGCGTAAAGACATGGACCAGATTGGCTGACGAAAGTCGATATTGTATAACTGATGAGTGACGTTAATAGGCAGAACAAGATCGAACCACCTTGACTAAGAGGGTGCAGGAGATCGAGGCGACATTAACAAAGAAGGAGGAATTACGTCTTACTGCTCAGCTGAAACTTGGACGTGCGTCGGAACTTGCAGACGATGCGCGAAGGTTCATATTACGATTCAATGGGATATCACTGATAACATTTTTCTATGGTTTCATACACCTAGGAAAATATACTTTAATAATTGTGACAAGGAATCTCTTTTTTTTATATTTATATTTTTTATATATATATTAGTTGCAGATAATGCTAAATAAAATTTGTTATAGAGAAACGTATTTTGAGTCTGGATAAAATAAAAAATTTAGAAGTTTAAAGATAATATGTATAACTCTTTTATTTGATTGTAGAATGTGCAAAGTATTAGAAGACAGAAGTCGGCTGGACGAGGAACGTATGGAAAAGTTGATGCAAGAATTAAAAGATGCTAGATTAATCGCTGAAGATGCAGATGCGAAATCTGACGAAATATCGAAGAAGTTGCAATTCGTTGAAGAGGAATTGGAAGGTGCCGAGGAGAGAGTGAAAACCAGCGAGGCGTTTGTATAATTATATTATATTCTTTTCTCTTCGAATCCTCGTAACTCTTTCTTTACAAGCTTTAAATGTATTTACAGAAAAATCATAGAGCGAGAGGACGAGCTTTTCATTGTGCAAAACATTGTAAAATCTTTAGAAGTATCCGAGGAAAAGGTAATTATCCTCTATAATTTTTAACATGGAAAAATTCAATTAAATTTTACGCTTTTATATTACAAACATCTAAAATTGTTTATCTAGGCTAATCAACGGGTAGAAGAATTCAAAATACAATTAAAACAGCTGAAAAAGAAATTAAGAGAGGCTGAGAAACGCGCTATTCATGCAGAAAGAACAGTGAAAAAGTTGTTGAAGGAAGTTGATACGAAGGAAGGTAGGTTTAGTACATCGAAGTAAGACGTACTTTTTAGAGAATAAGATATTCTCACAGATAACTGTGTTTTAGATGAACTCAGAGAAGAAAAGGAGAAGTACAAAGCAGTTTGCGACGATATGGACGCCACGTTCGCAGAAATGACAGGATACTAATGTCACAGAAACGGACGGAGTTCCTTTTATTTTGTTATTTTGAGCTTCTTCCGCTTATTCGCTACATTTAATAATGGACATCAGTTTAGCTGCATTTAGCTACGCTGATTTAATTCGTTATAGTGTACAGTGAAAAAAGTTTTAATGGGGCGTCAAATATAACTTGTTATGCGAAATTGTGCAATTAACATGGCAACTAGATAGTGTATACTGCTAGTTTTCGTTAATGTAATCGCTTTGCTTCAAGCTTAACACTTTGCCAATGCTTCAGGGCCGGAGATGATTGGGCTGAATGATGATATAGATGGTTCGGAAGCAAATAGTCTCTTTCCGATAGAATTAACGGCATCGCATATTTTTCTTTCAGAGACATTGAAGAGGAGTTGCTGAACATGAAAGCAAGCACGATACTGCATCCCCTATTTATCATTGTATGCCAAATCTGTATTTTCAATAAACGGTATTTAAAAAAGACTATACCATTGTACTTTGACTATGACCGATTATAATTATTAAATTCTGTGATAGATGAAAAGTATGTGTCTGAAGAAAACAAAGACAGAATATATGTATAGAAATAATTTCCCTTTTATAATTCACAAGTACAAAAGAAAGGTATATTTTCAATTATGGTACATACTTTCGTACATTTGAATGTTTGCAAATTGGATTTTTATTTATCACTTAAGAAAAAATCGAGCAACTACATTACCTAATAAAATACGCAGCTTGTTATTTTTTTTTTAACTTTTACGTAGTACGTAGCAACTTTTAACGTAGTAAAAGTTAAAAATAGATTCATTGCGTACGATCCCTGTTTTTTATGAACAATTTTTAATTTTATACAGTAAAAAATAGACATTTTTAATGTTTTTAAATTTGTGTGTCTTTAACGCTTTGTGTCAATCCATCTATCGGAAGAATATAAACGTCTAGAGAAGTCGAGGAATTCGTTTGCGTCTAACTAAAGAAACAGACCAGTTGGTTCTTTTGCATTTCTTTGAGTCTATAAAGCATTGTCCTCGTCGGTCACGGAGTGCAGTAACCCACGAGCTTTGCTTTGAAAGACCATAGAATTATTTTATCTTCACGAATCTTGTTTTCGAAACATTAATACGTAAGATCGTAGTTTTCTCACGAATAGGGTGAAATGTTTTGTTTGAAGTTCCGTTTGTAACATAGAAGTGTGAAAGTGTGAAAACTATAAATCGAATAATAATACCCTTGGATGTTGGTGTAATATTTGGGTAGCAAAAGAGGTGTTTACGATATCTGGATTTTTGATACAATAAAAATCTCTAATGTTCGATATTATATCATTCCTCATAAAATATCAATTTACGTGGTCCAATATTCCTATTTTTTATTCAATTCTCTAACGTCAATTTGATCAATGATCATATCCTTTTTTTTTATACCTCAATTCCGCTTTTTATATGATGGCAATTATTTTCAAGTTACAAGATATTGTAAAAATTGCTTTAGAATATTTACAAAATTTGTTGAACCATTATAAATACTGATAGAAAATTTATGAACAAAGAATGCTAACTAAATTCATTTTTGTGTACATTTTAACTTCAATATAATCTACGTAACTTACAAGCTACAGTATATATAGAGGGACGTGTATATACAGGAACGTATATAAAGAAATAACACTAAGCCTGGATGCATTACATTTTGTTTCATTCGAAACGAACGCTCGCGAACAATGAAAACAGCACAATAGGATATGCTCGACGGTTAGCGGCGGTTGTGTGATTTGATCCGCCACGTAGCGAGTATGCAGACTATGTCTGTTTTCGTCTTACGGATGCACACGTATGGGCAAAATTCAATGTAATCATAGTAATATTTTTTTTGCTAGTATCTCAGAAAATATGGCCGATTCTGCGCTCTGCTTCTCCGTTGATGGTACCCTATGGCAAACGTTCTGTATCTTTGAGTAAGACCTGGTGTATTTCATCTATAATCAAAGCTTCTCCATGTTCTCAGTACCATTATCACTTGTCCTAGTCATATGCCTCTTACATTGTGATAGGTTACCTCTCTTTGCTCGATGGAATATCTTAATGTAGCATTCTTCGCAGCTATATTCTTAGTCTTCATTATATACTCTGTAACTTTTTGACTGCCGCTTATGTTAATATTCTTAAACTTAAGGCTCGTTTACCTGCCTACTTTGACCATTCTCTCCATAAATATGCTTTAAATTTTCTTATACCTTTCTAGCCTTTGTTTCAGTAAAGAACTGCCCAGCTTGCTGATCCAATAACGTGATAATTACAATACAAAACGTTCGTCATTCTTCGATTTCCAGCATTCACGAGCCTGTTTGTCTTCTCCTTCTTCTTTCCTATCCGAAGATTCCTCACTTTCTATCATTTCTCTATATAACTTTCTTACACGAAACAGTGCACTTACCTTGAGTGCCCACACGTTACAATTCGTTCCCGTGAAATCCATTCATTTGAGGATTATATGAGATCCCTCTTCTGTCTTTTACGCATTAATATGTCGTGTTACGTCACGTACACTTTTGAATCTTTTCGTCTATTACCGGTAAGAACCACGCTCTACTACCAATAATGATAGGAAATGCACGAGCAGGGAACACTAACTGAACTAATTGCCATATGTTCTAACTTTAACATAATCTATATAACTTACAAGCCAATGTATATATATATATATAAAAGAATATCATTAATTCTGGACGTATTACATTTTGATTTGTCCGAAACCAACACTCACAATGGAAGAAACAGCACATGCGCAACGGTTAGCTGCGGTTGTGACGTCACCCGCAGTGCCGTAGCACCGCGCACGGGCATGGGTATTCATAGTACCGTACCAAATACGTATTATAGGTGTAGATTTTACATCTACAATGATCCTCGCAATTATAACGATTCAATCGATAATATCGATCGAACGTTTCCATGTTATTAAAAGAGCTATTTGAATTTCTATTGAAGTGGCAGAAAGTATCTATATTTAAGGCTTATTTAGTTGAACTTTTTCTCTAGCTTCTCGTCGAAACGTCAATCGTTGAAGTCATGAATGCGATAAAGAAAAGGCTGCAAACGCTGAAAATCGAGAAGGACCTGGCGATGGACAGGGCGGATGCATGTGATCAACAAGCAAAAGAGGCGAATCGACGAGAAGAGAAGCTAAGGGATGAGGTCCGGGAATTGGCAAAGAAACTAGTACAGATGGAACGCGACTTGGAACTGAGCAAAGCTCAGTTGGAGAAGTCGAACAGAGACTTAGAGCAAAAGGAAAGAGCTTACATCGTGGTTAGTGATTTGTAGAAAGAAAATATTTATTTTATATTCATGGATATAAAATAACTTACATCTAACAGTAGCTATAATTCATTATATTGTAAATTTTTTGTAATGAGCCTTGACAATTTAAAAAAAGATCCTATTCTAATCGAGAACGATCCTTGTTCGATTGAATGAGAACAGACGCAGTTTGAGTTGGCAGTTTTGAACAGAAAGATGCAGCAATGCTTGCAGAACTTGGAAAAATCCGAAGAACGTCGTCTCACGGCGCAAGCTAAATTAACACAAGCGATGGAAACCGCGGAGGACGCGAAACGGTTCGTCCTATATGAATGAAGAAGAGAAGAATACGTTTAATACATGAGATTATATTCGTAGTAAATTATTATTTTTAGTATCTGCAAAGTTTTGGAGAACAGAAGCAAGCAAGACGAAGAGAGAATGGATCAACTGATGGCACAGCTAAAAGAGGCTAGACTGATTGCTGAAGATGCTGATACAAAATCGGACGAGATCTCGAGAAAATTAGCTTTTGTGGAAGATGAATTAGAAGCAGCCGAAGAAAGAGTAAAATCAAGTGAAGCGTATGTGGAATGAATCATAAGTTCTTTCATTATGTAAATTTTCACTTCGCAAGCTATAAGTAATCTACGATGATTTACAGAAAGATAACGGAACGAGAAGATGAATTGTTCATCGTTGGTAATATATTAAAATCTTTAGAAGTATCCGAAGAAAAGGTATCTGTAGAATATCTTATCTCTTAAGTATATTATTAATTTTTCCTTTTTTTAAAACAATATTTTCATGTTTACGTAGGCCAATCAAAGGGTAGAGGAATTTAAAACCCAGTTGAAAGATTTGAAAATAAAACTGAAGGCTGCTGAGAAAAGAGCCATTATCGCTGAAAAAATGGTTAAAATATTTTCGAAAGAATTGGATGCAAGAGAAGGTACTTATAGGTTTTACTTATCTTTTTTACACTTTTTGGTGACGTTTTGAAAAGAATTTTTTTCTACGATTTACGTTCGTGTTTTTTGTTCCTCAGATTTCCTGTTCAGAGAAAAAGAGAAATATAAATATATCTGTGACGACATGGACTCCACATTTGCTGAACTCACCGGATATTAGTCGAACTTTCGTAACATCGAACACTGTTATTTTCTACATCAGTGTGTCCGTATTGTATCTTTTCTATTAAAAAATTGCACTCCAACTTACTTGCATGTAAATCACGAAATCTGGAATAATTTTCTGTGATTAATCTGCTAAAATTTAACGATAAAATCTTACCTGTTTCAATTTATCGTTAACTCAACTTTCCGTTCTCAAGGGTAAAGTAAAGAATCAACAATGCTGATTTTCGTACAGTACTTTACAGGATATCAATTTATTTTATCGATTCTACGATCGACACAATGCTTTGAAACGCCATACCACCGACTCGAATACAATTTCAGCCGTGGCATAATGGCCACGTCGCTTCGTTTGCCACGCGATCGATCAAAACAGAGAGAATAATCGCGATCTTCTCAACAGTGTTTTCGACGTCCCTTTACACGTGGCCATGCCATTGAAGAATAGAATCTTGATACGCAGACACACCTTATTGGCGCCTCTTCTCCTTTCTTCTTACCTTTTCTGTCAGTTCTTTATTATTATTATTTTTTTTTTACAACGATGCTAATAGTAGTTACAGTAATAATTGTTCGTTTGATTTGCTCACTTCCCACGCCTTCGTTCATTCGCAAACGCGGTCAAACCGGTGACGTGTCTCAAATACAGAATCGACTCGAAATAAAGTAAATACTTCGATACGAAGAACCGCGATCGAAAGAATTAATGAATTCATATAGATACCGGTACACGGAAGAATCTGGATAACTAGCGATACGAAGTCCATCTAGTGGTCAACCTTTTAAAGTTTTAGATGTGTACAGCATACGTTTACATTATCGACATCTCCTACTAAAAATTCTTCTTCTACGCCACTTTATTTGTATATCTTATTTGTTGAGAATATAGTACTTACGATATATCTGTACGACTAGCTTGAATTTTTCAGAAGGACGTAAAATCTTATATTTGTTAACTCGACTCGGTGGACTTCCATTGCTATTATTTTTTAGATCCTTATATTCAATAACATGTACCAACACGAGTACGTTTAGCGTATTTCGAGATATTCCAAGTGACGTCACCGTTTTAACTAAAATGTACCATTGGTAACATCGTGGGGCTCAACTTATGGCCCAACGATTAACGCGGAGGAAATGATTGGCAGTAGGGTCGCGTGTATCCGAGGAATTCCTAGCTCTGTCAATATCGAGTAAATACTTAGCAATTTACTTTATTTTGATAGAGAAAGAGTAAAGGATAAAAACGAATATGTATAAAAATTGTAACTTTAGTGAACGAGTTACCGATGATTCGTTTCATGGTAATATATTTCTTGCGTTCCAACATATGGTAATCTTAGAGCCAAAATTCGTTATGTCATTCATCAGACCCTGTAAGTATACGAAACCATTATTCATTATAACAGCAAATCGATTTCGAAGAATATACTTTTAAAAGTACTTTCGCCTGGAGCCAGAAATTCCCAGAAGCGGAAAACAATCGAATATCAAAAAAAAAACCCCCCGGATATGTCGACAAATGTACGGAGTCCTTGTTGAGCGGACGTCAGTCGGTCAGTGACATAAGAAAAATGTACAAAAAACGTTATTATCGTTACAATAAACGATACCCGCTTCCCGAAAAGGATCTAACAAATTAATCGAACTCTATGAGTTTGATTGACGTGCTTCTCAATATATACATTCATGTATGTTAATCGTAATGTATGCGCTTACACGCGCTTTAAGTACATATATATATTTATATATATATTTATATAAATTTATATATAAATATACCTATTCCCTCGTCTTCGCAGTGTCGCGCACACTCTTGGAATTCAAGTTGTCAATGGAATGCTCAGTGAAAATCATCATGATTAAAATTGATCATAATGTTCTTTGAAAAAACGCTATTTAAAATCCTAAAGACCTCGAAAATCTGCTACCTGTTAATAATAAAAATCGCAATTGTAAAATTATTGTTTCCGGAAGTAGGAAATCGGCCGTGATTTGGCACTTTTAAGTTAGTCTGCGAAATGGCAGTGTCGTGATAATATGTCGGAACTCATGGAACACGATACGCATGAAAACGCGTGCTTATTGTTAGACATCCGACCACGTTATTTTTACTTTCAAATCAGTCTGAGGGAACAAGTACGAATTCGTCACGGATCGCGTGGACCGAAATTCGCCACGTTCATTCCTTTTTAATTCCAACTTTAACGAGATCAATATGCTTTTTTATTCGATCGTTATTGAGATACTTCAAAATTACCTTACGATAATAAGCTTAGCTGCGATCAGTACATGAACAGGTTTTCCCGAATTACTCGTTAAATGCAACATGGAACAATTCGTTTCGTTTGATTAACATTTAATTAGAAAAGGAAAAATGATTGCTTAGATTTCGAATACCGATTCAAGTACGATTCGCAAACGTAACTGTCGAAGTGCGCGACATTCGAAGAGAGATGTCGGTGTAATCGACGAACGATCCGGCGTCGAAATGGACGCCGTTGACGTTTAAGACTAGCGTGGTTTCATCGGCACGGCGAAAAATGTACAGAGCGGGAGTGGAAACGTGCGACCGTCCGCACGCAGAAATAATGCCTTACTTAGAAGTCTTAGGATTTAGTAACGGATTTAAAGTAATCAACGGTGTTTAGACGTACGTATAAACTTTACAATGCAACAGGGCCCAACCATCGACGAGTCTGTCTTGGAGACGGACGAACGCGTCTCATTGTTGTCTTTAAAACGTTCCACGAATAGTTTTACGAAAGTAGCTTGCGTAAAACAGCCGAATCGGCACTCAATTTTTCTCGATTAACTCTCATCCCGATTCTAGTACCACGCGCACGCAACTGGACACAGGCGAGCACGTATCGAGAACGGAAAAGGACGCCCGACAAATTCATTCGTCAAAATTATAGCGGATGAGTTCGTGAACACGCAATCGAACGGAGAGTAAGAAAATCAGTCTTACGAATTGAAAGAATTACTTCCTTCAATGGCGAACGTTACACGGGCTTTGCAACATTTATCAAGATTCGTTGTTGCTCGAAGAGTATGTGATTTTGCAAAATTTATGTTTAATCATGAAACATTTAACGTAATCAATTAACACAGTAAGAGAACAAAATATGTAAATTTCAATTTCTATATGAATAAAAATAATATGATCACTCAATACTGACACATGCTAACTGGTTCATAATTCTCGTGAATTCTCTGTTGCAGAATAATGAGCCAATTTTTCAATGTAAAAAATTGTTAACTATTACAAATAGATGAAAAATGTCTTTAAAATAGAGATATATACGTATACACTATTTATCCTAATTTACAAAATAAAACATTAGTTGAGAATAAATGTTACGACGTCGCAGCCTGTAATGATCGAATTGATGACACCGAGGAAGCTGATCGAAAGTGAATGCGAAACGTAGTAGCAAAAAATAACGACGGACTTGTCTAGAATCGAAGAACAAAGAGTGTAGGCCAGTGTGACCAAAATAAATGCTCCCAGTCTGCATCGAGAAAAGACACAATGCTTAGATCGTGGTAATTAATTACGCAATGATCAATTTCACCGACGTCAAGAAAACGTTTTCTTAATCACAATCTGTCATTTCGTCGTCCTATTAGTAATTAGATTTTAAGGTACTTCCATTCATACGAAACTTCTAACCAGTCAATTTTACGAATGTTGAAAGCCAATGCAATGTTCGAAGAAAGGTCGAAACGTTCGTTTCGTTTGAAACGCGAGATTTTCACGAATACAAAATGGCGTCATTTTCCACGATTCGTTGGTGCTCCAAGGACTTTCCCGTGCTCTGTTCGTACGATTAAGTCTTTGGTCTCGAATGGGTCGCCCGCCGGCAAACGAGTCGCAGCGGTCTGAGCAAATTGTCGTTTGGCACGCACTCCTACACGCGATTAACTCATTCAACCTCAAGACCATTCACTCGTTACGCACACGCACGCACGGATGTAATATCTCGTTGCGTCATAGATAAAGAAGAGAAAGGTAATTTATGGCGTGTTCGAGTCGTATCAACAGAGATATTCGACGACAAATAACTCAGTAGTATTATCTATGTTAACAATACACGTGTTACGGTCTATTCCACGATATTCGTTTAATGTTTCGTATTCAACCCCTCTTCGTTATCTACGAGCGATTCATCTGCCGATTTCCAGCAACGAATATAATTTAATTTTCATCTATAATCGACAGAGAGAAAAAGGGAAACGGATACGCGTACTTACGCGGCACCACGTCCTATCTTTCAATTTTTTTTTTTTTTTTTTTTTCGTTTTAAATCTAACCACGTCGAAACATCCGACGAGACACCAGATAGAAGGATTTTCATTTATCTAATTCTTTGGACCATGGGATTAGAAAGGGAAGAACAGAGATATTTTGGCCTACCACGGATAATACGGGAAGTGGGGGAGGCACACAGGGGAAGAAAGTGGAGCGAATTAAACGGCAATAGAGTAGTCGGAAGGAGCATTATTTTGAGTGCTTGGCCTTGACCATAAAGAGCTCCTCAGGCCGAGTTTCAGCTTCTTCAAGGAGTCGATATCGCACTCGGCTTCGCTGAGCTCTGGCCGATCGGCACGGTCGCCATTCCCTGGCACTACATTTCCCTGATTGCCTCCGACGAATGTGGTCTCTGCGACCGATATCGGCGGTAACAGTGTGCGTAGAGAGCTCCTGCTGGAAACATGCCATCTTACGGGACAGCCAAAGAAATGAATTTACTACGGGTGAAAATATGATTTACATGAGTTTATTCTTTTATCAGCACTATTGGCTGAATAGTGATTGTACAGAGTGTTTTATGTCTATTGAATAATTTATAAATGGAAACGCTCTGCACAATGTATTACGAATATGAATGGTTATGTGTGAAATGAACGATGATTTAGCTAGTAAACATATCCATGCATATTCTATTTAAATGATTAACAAATATTTATGAAAGATAAACTATTTATTAATTACCTAGATCGTCCTCTTCGAGGAAGTGACTTCTGTTCTGACATGGGTGAAATATCCGAAGAAGTGCTCGACGTACCATGGTAAATGACATCGGAAACGGCTCGAACTAAAAGAACTATCATTATAAATTTATCACTGACAAGACAATGAAATAATCATTAGACGTACTGTGTTTTAGTTTGCCAGCATCCAGCTGGTTGGAAGACTCCGTGCGAGAGCTCGTCAGCTGATCCGGGTCAGACTCGCTCTCGTCGCTCTCGACATCGCCCGGAGTTTGTTGCTTTCTCTGCTGCCGTCTCCTCGACGAAACGCTTTTCATGCTCTGCAAATATATATTTATTTTATATTATTGATATATGTGAGACAATACGTGAGACTCTTTATTGTATTTTTCTAAGTTACGTACAGTGTCAAATAATAATTTAATACTAATTTATGTATACTTACCGTTGCGGCAGGTGGAGGGCTTGCGCAACCTTCGGTCATAGCGTGCTCGTGATACATGAAGCTGTGTAGAAGAGTGTTGTTCGAGTGGAGGCCGGCTGCTGAAGCTTCCGCCGCGCCTCCCAGTCCACCCAACCCTCCCAATCCTGCCAGGCTTCCCCCGCCACCTTCCGAAAGCTGGAACGTAGCGTACGGCGAGATGTCCTCCGCTGTCTCTGTAACCCATCACAGGCATTGCCTACCTTTCAAATCGCGTTGGGATGAATTTTTTAAGTGACAATCGATTCTCTGCTCTATTATAAAGTGATTCTACTTTCATTGTTCTTTTTTGTTTCTAATTTTCAATGTAAATTACTTCTGTCGAGGAAAACTTATTTCTTGAGGAGTGTATCACGAGAATATCACTTTCTATTGGGTAAAAAATTGTAGAAATTTATCGGCTTATTTTTTTAAAAGATGAAAAACAGAGTTAATAAGTATCAAAAAAATATATTTTTCATTACTAGAATTTGTGATAAAGGAAGTAGCATCTCAAATTATAAAGCAGAAGTAGAATAAGAATAGAGTAATTGAAAATATAATATGTTTTGAATATTCTCATAACCATTAGCTAAGTATACTATATCATAATTAGACATATTTATAAATCTCCTGATGAAATGTTTCCCTCGTTAGTTATTTAGAAATGTACATGATATCCTAAGGGAATATTGTTTCTAAATAATTGCGGAGGGTAATTAATGAAGGTAAAAGCGATGCATGATAAAATGTTCAACGAAATGTGGTGGAATGAAAGTGAAACGTTTATCAATCGCATAAAAAGTAGAAAGAAAACATACGATGATCTACAGTGATGGGGAGAAAATGTAAAATAATCCACCTTTATTTGTGAACTGCAATCGAACGCTAACGGGTCTGCCCACTTCGGTAGAACAGCGCTACGCGTGCGACTTTTACCTGAACAACAATTATAGTACCAAACCTGGCTGTCGTCCGTATCGTAACAAAGGTTCACCTGGAATCTTGTCGGGCCCTCCACCCGTATTCGCCGCTTGTTGTAAAGCCACCTTGTGAATCGTCGCATAGTAACGCTCTCTTTGGGTTTCAGCATTCTGTTGATTTTCCTGGGACTCTTTCATGGGTCGTTGCATTCTGTCTCCGAGATATTCTGATATATAAATATAAATGACATGTACATGCTTTGTGTGAAAAAATGTAAATAATGTACTTATATCAAGTTTGACCAACCCAACTTATTTCACGAGCCACCTGCTAGAATTTGTTCGCAAGTGATGACGCATAAGACGAAAGAAAATTTATAAAAATAAAAAAAAGTCTAATGTCATGGAAATTTATGTTATTCATATGCGGTTTTTAATAAAATATCTACTTTTCTGCGATTACTTCATTTCTGCAAATTTATTTCAATATTGAGGTTTAGATTAGTTAGATCCTCTAGATATTTATTGTTTATAATTAATAACTTACTGCTTCGCCAGCGAAGAGCTACGATCACCACAGCGGCGACTAAAGCAATGGTGGCGACAATTAGGGGCAGCATCACTTTCACATCTGCGTAGAATGGTATGGCCGAAGCAATTCCGCGTTTCGATAGTTCTGGAGGTGGCGGTTCTGCAAGGTTTCAGGAACACAGTGCTTTTGGATATAATTCTTTCAACTTGAATATTGTCACCGGATTGAGTTATTTTTTCATAATTATTTCTATAATCTTCTTAATAGTTACAAAGTGTCTATTTCTATTCAATGTCCATAATAAATTAATTATTCGGGATAACTGAAAAATAGTGTTACTCTAATCCACAATTTCTTAGATTTAGAAAAGCGAAAGTTGTTTTATTTATTGTTTGAAAATTAGAATTCAGTCTCAATGGTTAATTGATTTTGAACAAAGAATAGCTACACTACTAAGCTTACCGCCTTCCTTCGTTAGTGTTACGAACGTAAACTCTGCCTGATTGCTACCAGCCACATTGTGAGCTTCTACCTTCAGTTGGTAAACCGAACTTGGTTGTAAATTTGTCACCACAAAACGTCGTTGCATTTTCACGCTGTTTGATACTAATGTCCAGTGAAATTCATTAATGGGTCTATACTGAATTACAAAGTAGAGAATTGGACAACCATTATCTGGCCACACATGGAGTCGAAGAACTAATGTGGTTGAGTTTGGACTGAGGAAAGCTGCAGCTGGTGGTATTCCTGGTGCCTGTCCTTGCGTTCGAACAGAGAGCACTGGTGACGATGGACTGCTACCGATTTTATTGTGCGATGTTAGGTATAGTTGGTATGTGTTACCGCAAAGAAGACCCTAGAAATTGAATTGAACGACTTTAAAGCACTGATCTATTTAATGATAAATGTAACAAAATATTTTTGAAATATTTCATTAAACTTTGGAAACTTTTTATTTAAAAAATATAAATCTACCATACCTTTAATTCATGGCTCGTTGCATGACGAGATAATTGTAATTCGTCTAAGTTACCGTGTGTTGTTCGATAATGTAACGTGTACCCTGTGAGTGGAGCGCCACCAGTATGCCCAGGTTTCCAATGTAATAAAATACTGCTCGACGTTGAACTTGTTACATACAGAACGGGTGCGCTAGGTGGTACTACGAACAAGAAAATTACTTCGTGTATTACACTGTCCGACGAATTTTAACTTTTTTTTCAAATCTGAATACAAGTCCGCACACAAAATTGCTCTATCACCCTCAGATTTCGAAAAATGTGTTTTTCTAAACAGATTTTTTTTTTTCGCAGACTGTTATATATTAGCACCATTGTTATCAATTAGCTTAATTAACTTTTAAGACAAGAGTAAACCTAAAAACTAACAATTTTCGAAAATTGCAGATGACAGAGCAATTTCAATTACGGATTCATTCAGGAAAGTAAACTCTATAACAATTACCCAATGAATATTACAGATTAAAATTCGCATTGAACTGTGTTATTAATAGTCATTTATCCTTTAAAAGCTAAATTTACCTTGTACGGTCAAAGTATAATGCAACTTATCGCTCCCTTGAGAATTCTCCACCTGACAAGTATAGTTTCCACCATCTTGTGATTGTAAATTTGACAATACAAGTTCTCCAGATGGCAAAATTTGTATGTTTCTGGCTGTATCAGTACGAATTTGTTCGGCCATTCCCTTATACCACTCTCTGGTAGAATCTCCAACTGCATTGCAAGCCAGAGTGGCAGATCCTCTCCATGGTCGTACTACGTGGCCTCCAAAAGATGTAATTCTTGCTGGGACTCTATTTGTTGGTACTTGTGCAGCTACTCTGGAACTTTGTCCTTCACCTACACGGGTGCTACCAGTCACCCAAAATTGATATTCTACGTGTTGCTGTAAATCAGTCGCTTCAAAATAGGTGCTTGTTGCTGGCAGTGTTCTTTTACCGTGATTAAGTTCCTCTCGGCCATCTACGACCCTATCAGATTTATATTTTTATATTAATTATATTGCCATATTTTTATATTATTATTATTATTATTATTATTATTATATCACAGAAATTCAATGACTGATATTTACTATATTTGTTTTTACCTTGTGTATAAATTGTATTTAGTAATAATTCCATTTGGTTCCAGAGGTGGGAGCCAAGAAATAAAAAGAGCCTGTGGTGAACTGACTACTACTTTTATATCTGCTGGACTACCTGGCACTATGGAGAAATTAATCCACAAGATTATTCGTATTAAGTTATTTTTGTAAAGATGCTTTTGTTTTTAAATTCTCAATTAATTTGTGAAATTTTACCATCTTCTTCCGTTTGGCAGTAAGTTACTGTCGTTGGTACTCCATCGCCGACCCTTGTAAAAGCTAATACTTGAATAGTATAATTAGTAAATTTTCTCAGTCCCGTTAAAACAATGGTTAAAGCATTAGTTTTACGAACCTAAAAAAGGAAAGTATCGTAGAAGAATCTCAAATTAGATTTTTTTGAAATTAAAAGAAATTCTTTATGCTTACTTCCATTTCATCAACACTGCGCCACATATCTGCCAAAACAGGTTCATAATGTAATTTATATCCCTGAATAATACCATTGGTGTGTGTAGTAGGTGGTAGCTGCCAGGATACTTGAAGGGATTGCGAAGTTAATGCAGCGCATCTTACGTCTTCAGGTGGCATACTGGGTACTAGATAAATTAATCTTTTAATTATGTATCTTTAGAAATTTATGGTATCTCGTATTCTTAGAAACATCGCTTACCATCTTCCATTGTTTGTGTGAGCAGAAGTTCGCTAAATGGTCCAGATCCAACTTGATTATATGCTTGAACCACTAACGTATACTTTGTATAGGGTCGAAGGCCTGTTAGCCGAAGTTCTGCACCCCCTTCTTCTCCGTCACCAGACACAGAACTGAAGTTATACGAGGGGTTCGACGAACTGAAAGAAGATTGCTAATGTAATGGAGTTCTGGACTTGAACAGTTCAACATGCTTTAAACTATATTTATAATTCAATTATGAAATGTATAAAAAATTGTATAAGTTATCGCTATATATTCTGTACTAAATATTTATTGAATAAGTATTTGATAAAAATATTAAAGATTCATTACCCTAGAGATCAACTATCTGTAATTAAATTACAAAATATAAAATTTAGTAATACAACATGATGAACTTTATTCGAAATACAACTATATAAGAACGATTACTCTGTTTTGACATTCTTACCTCGTTTCCCTGTAGCCAACATTGAATCCCTGAATATCACCATGTCGAAGTTCAGGCAATGGTGGAGACCAAGTGATTAAAATTTCAGATGAGGATAGAGGCCTAGCTTCAAGATTAATCGGGGGTCCAGCTGGTCTTTGTGGTTCGGTCTTAACAATCAGTTCCGCCGAGGGCACTGACCTACCCGCTGGTCCTTCAGCTATTACGCGTATGGTATATCTAGTTGCTGGTTTTAATTCATCGATAAGAGCGGCGTATGGAAGAGGCGGTCCAGTGAATTCTTGCTGTTGCCATATTCCAGCTATTTTTACATAATTAATTTACTAAATATTAATACAAATTAAATTAAAAATAATTTAAAAATAACTATTAAACATAATTTAGAATAACAATAATGAGAAATATTTTTGCTCATATTTTTTTTTATTATTATTATTATTATCTTTAAAATAATTTTGAAATAATCACCATCGCCTTCTTTGTATTGAAGTATATATTTAGTCACTTCACTGGTGTCTTGAGATTTATGTTGCCATTTTACGTTAATACTTCGACTGGAAACCATGGCAGTCTCTAAAGAATTTGGTGGCTGTGGTGGCTCTGAATTGGAATGAAATGTTTTGTCCATTAACAAATACTTTTACAATGATATCAATGTATGCGTTTTGATAAGGTATCCTACCTTGTACGAGGAGTTGCACTAATTGTTGTTCACGACCATAAAGATTGCTCGCTTGACAGAAATAAGCGCCACTATCGGAGGCTTCCGCAGAAGAAATTTGTAATTGTGCTATCACACCATCTGGTGTTACCTCTCGTTTCACTGTAACTCTTTGTACGTAATAAAATAATTGTAAAAACTTTAGTTATGACATACTAGACATTAGTGCAACTAAAATTAACTACATATGTATAATAAATAACACAAAAGGAATTGAAATTTAAATTATTTTTCATATAAAATATTCATTGATGAACAGAAAGTTCATTAAACTTTAAAATAACATTTTTTCCATGATACATTTAAAAAAAAAATTCCCAGCAATATCAGAGAGTCTCATTCGACAGTATTCAAGCTAATCCCAGCTTTACCGATAGTTCGTCGAGGGATTTAACTCAATTTTCCCGCCTTTCAGCCAAATGACGGTGACTGGTGTGTCGCCGTGTACCTCGCAATGTAAAGTTGCTGTATCACCTTTCTTCACAGTAACAAGTCTCGATGGTGCAGCAAAATATGGAGAAGCTATAAATGAAAGAAACAATTCTCAGTGACTCGATACAACGAATTTTACGATTTGATTATGATTAAAAATTTATTATTGGAAAATTCTATTTTACCGATGGATGATTACTAAACTTTTATGTTCGACAAGAAAGTACTTACAGTTTACTTTTAGCTGGACCACTTTGCCAATACCACTTCCAATTCCGTTGCTCGCTTGACAGAGGTAAAATCCTTCTCTGTCTTCCTTCACATGTTGCAATAGAAGCGTACCATTAGTGAGAATTTTCGTGTATGCTCTTTCCCGCAACTCCTCGTATTCACCGGATTTGCTTCCTATTTTATTGAGATAAAGTATTTTGAATCGTGATGTAAACGAAATTACATATAAAATTTTTTCTTCAATCTAATGAAAAATATAACTTTCACGACAAAAAAAAATAAAACGCAAAATTCGAATTTTTAATGTGTTACTAACTTCACAATAGTAACACAGTAATTTTTTTCAGAAAAGCTGCAATATTCTGCTAGATTTATATCCTTTAATTTGAAGATTATTATTTTAACTAACTTGTTCAGTTTCTCAACAATTTCTTTTCCTAAATTTAATATGAAATTTGATAAAAATTTTTTAGTTTTTGTCATAAGATCTTTACCCGTAGCCTTCTTCCAAACAATAGTTGGTGTAGGCACGCCTTGTGCTTGACAGTGTAACGCAACGTGCTTGTTTCTTTCGACGCTCACATCGGTAGGTTCCACGATCCATCGCGGAGGTACTGAAAACCAGAGCATATAGCTTTAAATGAATCCATCGCGATACTCGCGTCTATGTTATTTTTACTGGTCGTTAGCGATTTAGAGACAGGTACGTCGTGAGAAAGTCGTGAAAAGCGCGGTCAAAGCACGAACTCGTCGACGGTATGGCGCTACGTCGTCGTTGACGCAGTATCGAGATATGTACAAAACGACAGAGAGAGAAAGAGAGGGAGAGATAGAAATATACTATACAATAGTGAAAGTACGAAGAGAACGCAGAACGACGGCGCCTGTCGTCGACGAGGAACTATCGTTCCTTTTTCGTTCTATTTTTTTTTTTTTTTTTTTTTTCTCGAACGAAAATGATTCACCGAATGAGAAAACCTGATTGTTTGCACACGCGATACACTTTATAATTCGAGATAAATTTTGACAAACTTGAGTTTCCGTTATATATGGTGGAAAATGGTAAAGTTAAGTAATGAAAAAGTGATAAAGACATTAAGAGACAAAGTGAATGAAGGTTCGTGGGTGAGGTTCAGTATGGACGTGGGGTCACGTGTCGATGCGAGACGTCCGCGACGTACAAGCCTGTTCGACCGATTTTCTGGATCATTTGGAAGAAAAAATAAACGTCGGACTGTTATCTGCTTCTACTAGAGGATCATCAATGTAAGCGGTTCGATTGATACATCATAAACGTACATATGTAGCCCAAAAGGAGACAGACGAAAAGAAGAACGGAAAAAAAATAGAGAAAAAAAAAAAGAGGTTACAGTGCAAAATGAAGCATCTATCGAGATTCTGTATATCTAGCTACGGCTGGAACGAAATCGCCACTAAATGTGTGCATCGACTAAATTGCGACAAACACCGGAGATGAGTGAGTTCCAACGGTATAACTCGTCGGTACGTCGCGCATCGACGTGTCGAGAGTTTGAGGTTTTCTGTCTTTTTGGGTGTACTGTTTGGCAGGTTCTACTTTTTACGGTGGTGAAAAACGCTGCACAAGCGAGATACTGTGAGTGGGAATTTCAACGTTTTACAAGACGGCAAATACCGGTCACGCATTAACGCGTGCGACAATATAATATATATATAGATATATATATATGTATGTAGATCAAGTGTATGTAAATGTGTGTATAACGTGTTATTAAATATATAGATACTCGTTCAACGGTGGCGTGAAACAAGTAGAACTCTCGAAAGAAGAAAAGGCGCAATTGGGCGGGAAATGTGAGGTTATGGATGAGAGCATGTCGGCGGAAGACCGAAAGATATATATATATATATATCGTGGATAGGTGAATAATAATAATATATATATGTATATATAGATATATATCAAGTACCCGCTTCTAACGACTAGTTTGACGAATACGAATTTAATTAATCATAAATACGTACTACTAGCCTACATTACCGGATATTCGCGCCGGAAACGATGGGGCACGTGTGCTTCCATTTTTGAAATTCGATCTCACCGGTTGGCGGTTTTATTTTTAAAGGGGCGTACATATGTAAGTAGCCATTTGCATCTTTTCCTTACTGTTCATTTTCATGTACGTTTACGTTAAACCAGGTGGAAAGTTTGTTGCACTCGCACCCCATCTATTTCGCGACCACGAAGGAAAGATAAAAAAGAGCAAGTGACAGAGATAGAAAAGACAGTGAGAAAAGCATGCAGAAGTGTAATGAAAAAAAGGTTGCCTTCCAACGAGCCCAAAGGAGAGCCACAGCGCATAGGTTCTGTGAAGATTTTTTGTCGTGAGCAGAGTGGCACGTGCTCGTACTCGGGTGATCAAAAAACACTTAAAATATATATAAGTAATAATAATATATGTACACAAACACGTAAGGTATATATAGATATATGCAGACAGAAAAAATCACAGCTACGTCAATAGTAAAAGAGAGCATGCAGATAAAGTGTATGATGCTCACATACACGCACGCACGCAGGCCAGAAGATAGTTTCATTTCTGTTCGTACACATCGCCATTATCATTGTCATTATATTTTTTCTTTTTTTTTTTGTGTTGCTTGGTTGGTTGGTTGCTCCGTTTTAAAAAAACGAGTAAAAATAAGGAAAGGTGCAAACTGTTACCTTTATTATTCGGTCAAGTCAAGCAAACCTCGGGGGTCCACGAGATACCGACGCATTCCCAGAGAGCCAAAGCAACGTAAATGTAATACACACTGTGTTTGAGGAATAAGGATTTCTATGGATTTCAAAGGAAACAGGGCAGACTCGATGATTTAGACGGTTCAATGATGAAACGTGCGTGATCTCGCTACGAATAGACTCGTACTATTAGAAATCGAAACAGACAAAATATCATTTTCCTATATGCAATTACAAAATTATATGTTTTAATAGGTCGTCTTTAATCCGTGCGAGAACACTACGGCGATTAACGATGGTGACGCAGGAATCGAATTAGTAAAGCGTTATGATGTGATTTGATGGTTACGGATGTTGATTATGGCAATTAGGATAATGGCGGATTTCATAAATCTCTCAGGATATATAGTTGGATCAGGACAACATTTGAGATCGGACTCGACCTCGACGTTATTTCTGCTATAAAATACTTATTCGCCGCAGAATTATTTTATTTTTGTTAAATCTCCACGTATATTGATTTCTTTTCATCAATTAAACTGTAATGGGTACAAAATTTTACCAACAAAAGATATTCAAGTACATCTACTGAATACGCAGGTTCAATTTAGCGAATCTGTACCAAAAGAAACCAAATGGTAAATACGAATTCTAAATAATCGCACGCTAAATTCTTACAACAAATTCAACTGCCTAAAAATCATTCTAAGAGAAAAGAAATAACAAATGCAAATTTTAAGTGTGACCAAATACTAAATTCTAAGAATATAAACAAAATCACAGAAAAAGGAAACTAAGGGGGAAAGAAGGTTGACATACTACAAATAAACTGCAGTTACCCAACATTTAAGAAAACGATATCAATCGGAAAGAAGTTTAAAAAGAAAAATATGACACGTGTTTCCGTCGAGATCGATGGAGACGGTAGGTATCAGATCGTATAGAGGGTTTGGGATGATGATGGAAAAGGGTCGCCGATCATCTAGTTACCTTTTACCTGTAGCTTGGCCGTGTACCTGACCTCGGCGGCGGGGTTCGCGGCGACGCAGGTATAGTCGCCGGAGTGCTCGGCCGCGAGTTTCGTTATACTGAGGACGCTCGAGTAAGAATCCAGTTGGGAGATGTTTGCGACGGATGCCAGATTTGGCGGCAAAGGAAAGGGAGTTTGGCCATCTTTTAGCCAGGATATAGTTAAGGGTGCATCACCCGCCGCGACCCCGCACACCGTCCACGTCCGCATCCCCTCGGATAGTCCCTCTTGGAATGTAAATGGCTCAATAATAGGGGGTACTGGAAAAGGTCAAGAGAGAAGAGAGAACCATACGTGAGAGCGAGAAAAAGATGGCACCAAAAAAACGCAAGAACCTTTTTTTTGTACCAGGTACATGTGTTTTTTATATATATATGTATAAATATATATATATGTTCTTTTATATAGTAGCGGTATGTTATATATATTATATATATAGACAGTAGTACGTCCATGTATATGTATAGATATATATATAGAATATAATATGTATATATATATACGTAGAATATGTACAATAGAGGCAGTATAGTAACGTAGCAATGTAGAGGAGAGAGAGGGTGGCCCCGCCGCGGACCTGCCCCTGCCGCCCTAAAACACCTTATACACATAATTTGGCATCGCACACTCACACAGCAGACGGTCGTTCCCAACGCAAGAGCTAGCATTCGTCGACTCCTCAAAAATCCAGCTGGTATAAAATTCGAATAAGATTCTATGTACAATGTGAACAATCTTAGCTTGTTCGATTCGCGTTGAAATAAAATACCACTTTTCGAAGAGTCGAAAGAAGGACGAAGGAAGAAAGGAGATGATAATGGCAGGTCTCGTGCAGGAGGATGAGCCACGCTAAGCGTGAGCCGTCATCAAGTACGCGTCACCAGGTCTCTACGTTCCTGAATGACGTCGATGGCTTCATATTAGATAAAAAAATGAGACTCCTTCCCGAATGAACGCCGTAAGAACTGAGTGAGCTGTTGCGATCACGCATCTTCATTGTATTGGTTTACGTTGAAAGCTATTTACAGCGGTGTGATAGCCACTAACACATTAAAGTTTTCAGAAAAAGCGAGAACGAAGAAACGTGTGAGATGATGGCAAACGATACTCGGTTATACTCGCTATGATTTCCATGAAGGAGAAATGGAACAGCACACCTCGAGGTCTTCACGCGGTTCATTCGCGAGTGTGGGCAACCGTGTACACACTCACACTATTGACCCTCTTTCAGATTTCGGGCGGGCAGGCGGTCGTCGGGCAAAAGTGAAGGGGGCCTAGAGGAGGATTACCATGAACCACAAGCCGCTGCGTGTGTGATACCTCTGCGGCCAGATTACGGGCCACGCATGAGTAGTTGCCATTGTGATCTGGAGATAAACTTTCAATCATCAGTATGCTATTGTACTGGTCCATATTGGTGACACTGACTCGCTCCGACGGTCCCATCGGTCGTCCATCCTTGAGCCAAGATATAGAGAGCGGGAGATCGCCCCTTGTCACAGAGCAAGTCAACGTGGTTCGTTCGCCGAGATGAAGATCTCGATCTGCCGTGAATGGGCTAATTTTGGGAGGAACTGGAATAATAACAACGATAGCCCATGAGCTCGAGAAGCATAGACGTAGCTAAACACGTCACATCCAGGAACCCTTCAGCCCATCGTGGAATCCTAGAAATTCTCTTTTGCCTTTCTCTTTTTCCCAGTTCTTCAACCATTACACGTAGAAGTAATAATTCTTTCAAAGTACATTCTGATTTGCTTCATCTTCGTCACCAGGTGATAGTTAAGGCTCGATGCCTGCTCAGCATCAGGACACCTGCAACAACCGTGGAATAGTGGATCGAACGTAACATCTTACCGATTACTGCGACGTCTCCTGATCTTCGTGCGCTGTGTCCTTGTTTATTCCTCGCTGAACACGTGTAGACCCCTGCGTCCCCGTTCTTCTGCACACTCGTGATGACCAAAGTACCGTCTTTCAGCACTTTCTGCCGAAGATCGTCCGGCAATTCCCGATTCGCTCGTTCCCACTTGATCTCCTCGATGGGGTACCCGGCGACTGGACACTTCAATCGGAGAGTTTCACCAGCGACAGCAGTTACTTTCGGAATTAGTCGAATATATGGAAGACCTGAAGTGCAAACAAATTCACAAGGATCGCATTAAAATTTGCGAAATACAAAAAGCGAGTGGTAATTACTGTCAAATTCAATAAATTTGACATATCGTTCATATTGTCATTAGGATTAATATCCATACAATATCGAAATTGCTAGTACCAAAGTTGACATACTAGGAATTGGGCAAAACAATTCCATCGATTACAAATTCTATATAGTTAACATTTTCACTTTGCAATATTTTCCAAAATTTTGTTTCAGTTTGCTCAACAATTAAAAATAACAATTGAAGTGAGTAAATTAATTAAATAACCAATATGAATATTTTATTTGCTCACAGCACAATGAGCAACTGAATTTGTCTGACTATAAATATGGTACTAGTACTTCTGCAGCACCGTGATAAAATTGCCTCTTGAAAGACAAAACTTTATACGAAAATCAAATTATAATTAAAATGCAAATATCATACAGAACGAAATGCAGGTACGATCAAATTTCTTTGACTACAATAAGAATAATATTTAACTCGACGCAATGACCAGGCGGTCTGATATTAAACGTGGCAATACTACTTGTTTCTTGCTGTCCATTAAAATCCCATTAACATCGAAGCATATTTTAGCTGCTATACTTGAATATTATTACTCGCATGTGTCATTCCAGTTTTATTTAAACAATTTGAAGCAACGAAGAGTAAAACAGAGTCACTGGCTACGCTGAAACGTAAACTATAAATTGGATAGACTTGAACAGGACACTAATTTGCTAAACATTATTCACAAACTTCGGTTACCGAATTTGGTATGAAATTTACCGTAAACGTTGAGACGAGCGACGTGAGTCACTTTCCCGGCACGATTTTCGGCTGTGCAAGAATATTCTCCTCCGTCCTCCACCATAACATGACTGATATTAACATGCGATATAACATCACCATGAACTGTCCCGTACTGGCCAATAAGGAACCTTAAACAGTAAGAAATAATCTCTTAATAAACTATTTTATCCGAGAAAAGAACAATAATAATCGATATAAGAAAAATAAATTATACATCCATATGATTATATGCTCTCTATATTTTAGCTTACTATCATCCAGGGAGCACCGACGAATATTTCTACTGGGAACGTTTCAAATTGGAACCATATTTCACGTTCAAAGCTCTCCGCGCAATTTCAACAAAATCCTCCAAGTTAATGAACAAAGTTTTTTTTTCAATTAACGATTAACTTTGTTCAGAGGGGGTGGAGGCACAGTAACTTTCTACCTCCGATACGCTGCAGAGACCGCTTTTCAATTACCGTGTCGCAATGCACGTACTCGGGCAAAGCGGGCCGATTTCAATGAAATTGCTAATTTCACGAGCACGAGTACCGCGAGAAACAGTTTGCGTGGCGGCGAAACGAACGCGAAATGCGCGCGTTGCGCCTGGAAATACAGTGGTGAGGGTGCTCTGTTCGTCGAGGAGGAAGGAAATGGCCGAGAACGAGGCGGGATGACGATAAAACGGCACAGGCGAAGAATCACAGAGCGTCTTTTATGTCGATCTGTCGTTAAACCATACGAGGGTCTCGCGTCATATCCTCTCGTGGCCGCCCCTCCGCTCGTGATTTCGCCTTTTCCATCTTCCACGAGCACCGTCCCGTGTCGCCGCAATAAATATTCCAGCTTCTTGCCGGGATATTGCACTTGAAATTGAAATTGGCCCCGCTGCAGATGCGACCCCTTGACTATCACCGCGAGGAGATTGCATTTTAATTACGGAGCATCAAGCACGCGTTAAAACAATTGTTCAAGAGTTACGACCGTCTGCTTTATGCGATCGACGAAGAACGGGAAGTGTATTTTATTAGTCGCGTGCAAAGGTAATGGCAGGCACGTTTGCAATGGTGTTCTTAAACCGAGATTTCGCTGGAACACAGGAAGAGTCGATCAATTAATTAAAATTGACAATAAGTAACTAACTAAGAAATAAGAAAGATTCGATGAAGAGGAAGATGTGTATCTATTGTTATTTAGAAAGTATAAGAAATATTACTTAAGTATTTGAAACATTACATTATTTAAGTACCAAAATATCATGTAGGAATATCTATATGTTACTACTGATTTGAAAATTCTAATATCTTTTGCATAAATTTAATTATTTTTTATTATTAGTTGAAACACTATGTAATAAATGTAACTGCAATGTTTGTTCTTAATAATATCCTTTGAAGAACTAGATAATAAATTATATAAACTATGATGCTTTGTATTTTTATTTTTGCATTTAAGTTATGTAAGAATTTCTCCATACTTTCAACTGTGTATTTTCTTAGACCCAATACTATATTTAATATGCTTTTAGAAATTACTAAACCCAACTCTTGAAGTAATAATAAGCATATTTAATAAAGTATTCAACAACGTATTTAGTAACTCCATTATTTCTTCTATTCTTACACAGTTACTCGCCTTTACACGCTTTATATATTGCTAGAAAAATTAATTAACTTTAACGACGATAGACGGCGACACTCGTAAGGCAAATACACAATCTCTATAAAATACAAACGTATTAGATACATAATTAAATAATTAACAATGCTATAAATATAGGACTTATATAAATAAAACCTATATTTACAGATTTCAAAGTCTTTCTTAAAATATTTCATATAATTGCATACTTGCCCAGATTGAAGTAATTAAATTGGTAATTCGTATCGTTATATCGGTACGTCGAATAGTCGACAATTAGCGACAAATTATACCTCGCTTTCTATTTAATACACTGTGATCTGGTTACGAATAATTATATGAAGCCTACCTTCCGTTGTTTGGCAGGGGAAAACCGTCCAAGGCCCAGGTAACTTGCGGTGTCGGGTTCCCAGCTGCAGAGCATTTTAAGGATACAGCCGGTCCCGGTTGCAACGTTTGCTCGATGAACGAGTAGAGCATTTTCGGTGGCGCATCTGCGAACCAGAAAACAAGACCACGACACATATATTTCCTGTGGTATCCTTCATTTCCTATCTTCCTCCTCTTCCAAACCTACCGTGAAGCACTTTATGCTCGTGTTTTCATACGACTTCAAAGAATCATTCGAAGCACGCATAGGTTATGAAACGGTCAGAAAAATATCAAAAGAAATACCAGCAGAGAGAAGAATTTTGTTTAACGTTGCCATTCGATACAGCGGACTTTCGATCCCCGGGAATTCACTATGGTTTCATTGCGTCGATGAAAAGGGGAAGAGAAAGAAAGGAAGAAGAAAAAGATCCGAGTCAGCCCGATCGGGGGACGGCCATATTCGATTCGTACAATGACCGCGACGCAATCGAATCCATCTCGTTAAGAACGATACGCGGCGACGTTAGGAATTGCGGGGAGGGGATGGGCGAACGGGTGAGGAGCGAGGAGAGGGGGCAGCAAGCGGGCAAAGTAGAAATCCCCGTTAGCTCGGGGAGAAGAAAGAACAAGAGGCAAGAGCGTGAAAGACCACGGCGGATTCTTGATTCTGAAAGCCGCCACGCCTGCCTGGCTGGCTGCCTCCCGTGCATCGCGATAGAAAACGAAAGACAATGGGCTCGCTGCGACGGAAGCGCGCCGGAATATTTTTTCTCTCTCGATGTTTCTATCTCGACGACACGACGACCGATGGAAAGGGGCTAGGTGGGATGAAACGGCGGGCTCTGGAAAGAAAGAAGGGGGGAGGGGGGTGGTTAGAAAGCATAGTGGAAAGGCAAAGGAGAACGGGAAAGTCCAAGATCGAAGCCGACGCGTCTCAGTCGACGCGGAGGGACGAGAGGATCGCAGGACGAGGGACTTTCCATAATTAAAAGTGTCGATTTCGTCGTCATTAAAAATGCTCGAGCGTCCCGTTACAAAGGACAGTTCCGCCATCTAGAAGCGAAGATAGAAGGAGCGAGACAGAGGGAGCGAGGAAGCGAGAGGAGCAGATAGCTAAAACGCTTTCGTCTAGGATGAATACCAGGCACCAAGTAGAGATGGTGCTCGCGGATCCGTGAGGAAATTGATGAACCTCGTCTCGATGCCTCCGAGCGATCGTCAATACGTAGTTGCGGGACCGCGAAACCTCCTCTACCGGCTTCAATAAAACAGAATTTCTACTTGATGTCTATTCAGTCTGTCTGCCTTGGAAGAATCGCGAAAGAAGTGGGAGTTAGCGAATGTCGCAACGGAAGTTGAAACACGAAGAGACCTGACCCCTGAAAGACTGTCAAATGTTCTTTCTATTCGGTATAAATGAGTTTTAGAAATAAGTACCCCTGGAAGGTTTATGCTGAATGTATAAGTTCTGGTAACGTTGAATAACGTATAATGTATGAGTATTATAACGTAGGAGTGTATTTATTTATATTATATTTGATAACCTTCATTCTCTTTTTTAACATCACACCTAAATATCTTTTTTCCCTTCCATAACCTCCTAAATACCAATTTCTAAAAAGGCTAGGTAATAACGAAACGCATTGCACAAGATTCTGATATACGAGTTTGTATAAAAGAAATTCGCAAAAAATGAACAAATTTCGGGCAGGAAAAAAGTATTTCAGTTCCCTAGGTTACCTCAGTATACAGCCGAGGTGTATTCACAAGGCCGTGAATCTTCATTCACGCAGCCCGACAAAATACGAGGCAGGCCGGCGTGGCCACGTCCACGAGGAAGACGAAATCTCATAATGCGCCGTGGCTCATAATTTCTACGGGAACGTAATATTCAGCGCACCCGCGATCATGCTTTTAATATACGCAAATTTCGTCTTTTTCTCTCCCCCTTCTACTTATTCGTTGAAGCCCGGTCACGAAGGTGGAGGAAATTAGAAGAACCACGAGACCATCGTGGAAGCCGAGAAAATCGGTCTGGAGATTACTGGCGTTCGATCGAAACGCAATTCGTCTCCATTTGGCCTCAACTCGTCAACGAAACGACTTTTTTCCGCTAGATCCTTGGCTCGTGGCATTAGAGGCAACTCTCTCTCCCTTTTATTTCTACATTTTTCCTAGTCGTGAAATTGCAACGAACCGGTAATCCTCTCTCTTTCTCTCTTTCTATTTCCCTCTGTGTTCCTTCTTCTATGTCTCGCTCTCTCTCTCCTAGTCTCATGCTAACTCTGTCCAGGCCACGGTACGTCCTTACCACGGGTGTACCGCTTGCTCGAATTCCCTTTGACGTAAATTCCGTGCATTACCGACGCTGACGAGCGGGAGACGCTAACTTCATTGTTGTTTCAAAGGCCCTCCTCTGGCTGGGTTCCTCCGCGTCCCTCCCCGACGGGATGTTCCTCTTTCATGCAGCACTCCTCATCCATAGGTGGGCGGTCCAGATATAGGGCAAACGGCCGAGAGAGATGCCTCGCAGTGGTAACCAAAGAGTACAGAGGTAGGGGGGTCGGATGCTGGCGTCAGTGGCGGGCATGATGGACGAGGTAACGAAGGGGCGAGGGGGAGTTAAAGCGGCGTAAAAGAAGCCTTCTCCACTTCAAAGAGGAGGCCTCTGTTCTCTCGAGGTAACGAGTCACGTGGGCGACATGCTCTTTCGCCGATAATCGAGTTCCCTGTAATGCGATCGGTAAAACTGACTACCGATTACGCCTAGCTACTTCAGAGAGTTACGGCTGCGTCACTTCTGACACGTCACCAGCGTGTTCTCGAAAGGTCGAAAATCGATTCTCACGTGTATCGATCGGATGAAAGTATTTCGAGGGCAATGGAGCACGATATTCGGAAATTCGTCAGCGAAAAGTTCTTGCAATGATGATTTTGAACGATAATCATTTAAAAATGAGAGGGTCTTAATATGTCGTAGAAATCAAAATGTTGAACAAATTTTTCCTATATATATGTCCGCCATTCGGCCTCAGTTTCCGAGATTTTTGCAAATAGGTATTGCTACTACTATTACGAATATTACCTATCGCTACGTGTCAATGTCGGCGTGTGTGTAAACGTTGATAGTCGCTAATAGGTCAACCAATTCTCAACGAGGAATTAAATATCTCTAGAAGTCTAAAACATTAAAGAAATCTAAGTTGATAATCTGCTTAAATACCAGACAACTGTTCGGTATAGTAATGCTCGAGATAATTAATATGTTTAATTAATTACGTATTAGTCGAAGTTGGAAGTAATTAAACTTAGGTTCGAAACGATCGGGCTGAAACTTGGAGACGAAATAATCGGATTTATCGATTTAATTAAAACTGCTGAAGTTAATGTTCTTCGAACGAATTGATTAAAAATAAATACTCCGATTCTATAATTTTTCCAGAAGAAATTACGGGTCGTGTTTGCTTTACATATTTTCGCAATGAAAACACATCGCGACTACGTACTCCACGCGCTATATTAATTTATTAAATTTCCCTCTCCTATATAGGGTAACAAGGGGGAAGCATTTCTATGCTAATTAGACCACGTGAATTTTCGCGGAAGCGATAAACTTTCGAGGTGCAGAAAATGAATCTTTGAGAATGACCTAATTTGCTTTGTGAACGGCGAAGGTGGATAGTTCCAAGAAAAGTGAATTTATACGTATGCATAGACCTATTGAAAGCTCTTCATCTGCAATTCTGATCGAAACTGCACCGCAACTTTCCATGTAATTTTCCTTTGTGCAGTCCAAGTCGAAATGAAGCCGGGTATGTGGAATTTGGTAATTGAGATCGAGTGAGTTGAATCGAATGAAGATACGCCTGTATGTGTGTGTATACACACTCTGCACATTTATGCGTTTCTGCATATGGAGTTGCACGACGAGCCAGCCAGCATTCCAATTATTTTTTCCTAAATATTATTTCCTATGCTTCAAAGGCAACTCGAAGTCCACAAAGACTGCTGGAGAAGGACAATTCATCAAGGGAGTATATGGCAATAATTAAATTTTTAAATTAGCCATTTCAAAGCGAATGGCATGCTTGAACATCTCAAATTGTAAAAAGAATTTAAAAAAAAAACCTTATTTACCAGTTCTAATTATTTATAAATTCGACTGTTTCTTGGTTCCTCTTAATTAGCACATTTTTTATGACTGCACTATTCCTCATTCATTCCTTGACAGCAGAACCTCTAAAAATTCTAAAATCACTTTTTTCTGTAGTTTTCTGTGTCGTGAATTTTACCGTGTATATTCAGCGTTATTAAAGCTACGCATCGGAAGCTAATGAAAGATAAATATGCCTTACCGCCCAATTGTAGTTCCGCTGATGCCTGTGCGGTGTCGCCCTCTGTGCGTCTGACGATACACTGATACATTCCACGATCTTCCCTGCTGATACCGTTCAGCCTCAATAATTCTGATTGTCTGCCGGTGCCTGGCAGCTGGCGGCCATCCTTGTACCAGGTAACAAAGTGTGGTCCGGCTTGCGGATGCGTGCTGACCTCGCATCTAAATTCGGCATTACCTCCTAAATGGACGCTCAGCAATGGCGGCGTGACTTCGACGTGCAGTGGAGCTGTCACGATGAGCCTAAAGGACAATTTCCATTGTATTTTCCATTTCGCTTTCTAGGTCAGAATTCAGGCCACACTGAGAACCTGGTCGTACAGTTTTGTCGTATATATTTGCCGAGACTAACTTGGATATGGAAAAGATGAATTAAAAATCGCGAAATTCTTACGGTTAATTCGGATAAAATGTGTAGAGCCACCTTCGTTTGCCACCAGAGGGATACTCGTTACAATACGTTCCTCGAAAGATTTTACTTAGTCACATCTCATGTAAATATCTCGTGGTTAAAATATTATTAAAAAGACTAGTAATTCGTGTAAAATTTTAGAATGTAGAAATAGATCACAATTTTGCGAGAAATACTTAAGAGAACTACATATTTAATCTCTAACCTTTTTGATGAAGATTTTACTTATCACTGATTATAGATTCCTTTAATAAATTATTATGTATGAAACTCGCAAGTATTTCTAGGTTGCTCACCACGTTTGACGTACTCCATGATTTACATATATAATTACCAGAAGCAGGATCTTTCATTAGCCCAATAAACATATTCCCAACACAGACACAGCGGAATACAGGAAATTAGAACTACGAAGGATTCAGCACAATCTTTCTATGATTACACGTACTCCTGGCACTTCTTCGCTTAAGTCTAACCTGCCATAACTCTGCTCTTTCGTGTGGTAAGGATCATGCTAGGATTCTTTATGATTAAAACATCAACTGAAGCAAAGAAAAATTTTAAAAAAAAACAAAAAATAGTAATATCATCGCACTAGTTTTCTGTGGGTTCTTATAATCTAGTGACTTTTTATTTATTAATTACCGGACTTCGGCGCTAGCTTCGCCACCAGGATTGGACGCTGAACAACGATAAACGCCGCTGTCTTCCAACGTGACAGCTTCTAGGGCCAGAACAGCTCCTAGCAACCTGGTCCTTGGTCCAGACAGCACCAGCATTGGCTCGGAACCAGTTTGTGCATGCCATCTAAAATTCAAACGATCGATTGAATCGTAAATAGAACGTTCAACACCGAATGGTCGCGCTTTAATGCTAAGAATATTTCGTTCGTACAATGATCCAAAGAGGTTATAAAATTTGACGCAAGATTTAGAGGCAATAAAGTTTGAAAACACTTTCCGCTTGTAGTTATGGCTCATTAAGCTTGTTCCCCGTGTTATGGTCGGATCATATTTTCGTTAATCGACTTTCTTTATTGAACATCCTAGAATATTCAAATTGAGGTAACATCTCGGGAGGAAAATTAATTCAATTTATCATCTCCGAAAATTGGCAGAAAATCTCCATAAATTGTTGTAACAAATTTGGACCATTGTCTAAAAATGGAAAAAGAAACGAAACTTAAGTAAAAGTTAGGTTTTACAATAGTTACGTCTCAACATTCATTATCATGATCGTAAATCTATATTATTATATTATACTTCATGTTATATGTTATATTATACTCCATGAGTTTTATTTCTGTACTCTTTTAAATACTTGTCTCATGTAGTAATTGCTTCATTATCATTATTCTAATCATTTCTGTAATGATTTAACACTAGAACTACTATGGGGATCGAAATAACACGTCTCGGACATTTTATTTTTGATTTTCGTCCAAACTGGGTCACAATTGTATGCACTATATTAAGGTATACATTACAACAGGCTGGTAGTTCTAGTGTTAACTCTTTTCCTCATACCAATTTCACGCACCATTCATACACACTCTGTATCAATCGATTTGTAAATTGTTAATAAATAATATTGTAACGATTACTAAATATACATGCATAACCATTAAACGTTGCAATTCCAAAAACCATCAACGAACTTCTGTACATTAGAAAACCAACAAATATTCCTTTCACGATTCCCTCTACTTTCCCGTCCCAAAAGCATCCCATTACACCCGTGATGCTTCCCTAATTCATACCCATCTCCAGATTATTACAAAGTGCCAATTAAAAACTCCCCCGTATCACGAAGCTAGCAAACAATCCCCAAAATTCGCTCACGATAAATTCCCGTGTAATCCCAATTAATTCACCGTCCTCGTATGCCCATCCTCTAGCAGTATAATACATCATCCAATTACATTAACTCAATCCATTGAAATCTCTGTGCCAGCGCGAGCCGGAGGTACAATTCGTTTCGCTAAAAATTTCGCCGAACCGCGGAAAAATCCTTTGTGGAAAGCACGAAAATGCGTCCTGGCAGCTCTCCATGACTCCACTATAGTACACGCAATGTCAGGAGATAACGCGAGAACAGAAGCCTGCTTACGATTTTAGGTTACTTCGATATGAGGGAACAAGCCTGGTTCCGCCATGTTGGCGAGTCACCGCGTGTCCGCCATGTTGGCGTCACCGGGACTTCCCCTTCGCCGAGAATAATTTTTCATCGAGAGGCAAAGGGAGGCTTCGAAAGGGATGCAGATGGTGGTAAAAAGGGGAAGCTTCAATTTCACTGGCTTTGGGGGCCACGACGACGACCCAGAAACGGAGTCCGCATCCAGGGCGAGCATTTATCCCGGGGATTCCCCGCTTTCTCTCGCCTTCCGAACTTCTTGACAGTTTTCGATCGAGGCACGTCCGCCGGCTCAAACCATTCCCAGTGATCCCTCGTTCTTTTTCCCTCCTCCTTATACTTTCCCGTTTCTTTCTTTTTCCTCTCCATCTTTCCAGCTTTCTTTTCAGTCTCCTCTCTCTCTACTTCTCTCCTTTTTTTCCCTCTTCGCTCTCTTTTCTCTCTTTTCTTTTTAAGTTTTGCCTTGGAGCGTCGTTTCTCGCTGGTTCTTGGATTTCTCGCTAGATAGCGCGACTGGTCTCCTCGGGGAATCCCAGCAGGTTCTGGAAAAGTTATCGGAGTAAGAGCGTATGTAAGAGGTTAGAGTTGGAACTCTCAGCCGGTGGATCGGTTTTTTCCTTCTTTTATAGACGTTATGATGCCATCGTTCGGTCGGTTTACTTTGTTCGGCACTTCTTTGTGGGTGAGAAGAAAAGGTAAATTACACGGTGTTATCAGTTTCATGGGAAATATACGCGAAGCCTCAAAATCGCACATGGTCTGTGATTGCTGACAAATTGAAGCCAGTTTGTTGCGCGAAACTGCGCGTTTCTAGCTTCGATCGATTGCTCATATATATGTACCTACGTCACGTTTCGAAATCATGAACATATAGACCGTGATAATTCATAAGTTCATGGTTAGCCACGTGTTAGGGGGTAATGGCAGGTGTATTTATCCCGATGACGCTTTGCGTTTATTACATTTGGGATGACGTAATATCAACGCGTAACAGTTTTAATTAAGTATTAATCATTTTAGCAAACAGATTTGTCTTGTTAAGAGAAACAGAGCAACCGAAACAGAGGAAATGATCATAAATTACAACAAATATATGGGTATTGTCGATGTGGCGAACCAATACACATATTATTATCTTCTACGTGGAACACTCAAGTGGTGGAGGAAATACTTCTTTTGGGAATTAGAATTTGGCTCTTCCTTTACCTATTTAAATCATCCTATCTTTTAGTTAAGAACATATAAATTACAACTATTTGAGAGTGCAACGATCAACGTGCACACCCTCATCAAGGTTCGAGTTTTCCTGCAACTCCTCGATGAATCCTTGTCTCCCATAAATACAAGTTCCTATCCAACCTAAGTATTCCCCGTTTAAGGCAATCAGTCAGTGTGGAGTCTATGGTCAGAGTGTCAGAATCAGTGTCAGAGTCGGAATGCGTAGAGTAGGCAGAGTGTGTTTAGTTTTAAGTATTAGCATCATAGAATTAGGCTAGCCTTAACACTGTGGCAAGCAATAGTTCATATTTTGAATATACATCATCGTTATTAATCTAAAACCGTGTTGTTTGTGTCGTGCCTGGCTGTTCTTTATTCTTCTCTTATTTCTCAGCTTCCATAAGTAGCAGTCGAAAAACTGTCCTTTGAAGTAAATTCCAAATAAAGCACTTAAAATAGTAGAGAGTTGTTAGCAACAAAATTGACAAATAACTCGGAGTGCAAAGGGATGACAAAGCTTATTTTGTTCTGTTAATTGCAATATTATTCTAGTCGATCCCTTCGAAATGCGATCCTAAATAAATCCGCTCATAAATCCATAAATCCACACCTGTAACCGCCTCACATGCACGAACCCAGCTCGTTATTTCGCTCGGACGGATTTGTATCGCCGGGGCACGTTAGTAGCGTTCAAGCAGGTCCCTCGCAAAACATCTTGGCACACGGTGCTGGCCAGCGATATCGTCGATAAATTCTCATCCCTCCAGATGTTTCTTGTCCCGTGCATGCATCTGTCCCGCAGTGGAAAAGGGGATCCGGGTACTCGAAGCGGGGCAGAGACGGGGACAGAAGAAACCCCCTAGAGCGGAAGGCTCCTCGAAGACCTGGTGAGCGACATGGAGAGTTTCCGATTGTGCAGCGTTCGCGAGGCTTCACGTTCGAGTGCTCCCACTTTTCCCCGATCAAAGTCCTGCCCGGTCCTTATTCCTTTACTTACCTTCCACCTCGAATATTCCACGCCCCGCGATCCTCTTTTTCCTGTCTCTGGCTCTGCCTTTTCGCTCGTGCCTGGCCTCGGTCCCTCTTTTTCCAGCCGGCCAAGAGACGCACAGGTCGCAATTTCCTTCTAGGCTGAAACGACGGATCAGAGCGTGCGCCATCTCGATGCGCTTTTCCGCGTTTCATGCCCTTTGTCGTCTTTCGAGTGGTCCACGCGAGTGTTGACATAGGAGGACTTTTCTTTGAGCGAAAGCTACGTTTGTCTTTGATGTACTCCGTGTCGCTGCTGAGGCCGAATGTGCTCGTTTCGTCGATCGCTGTGATTTATCCGTGTATTTTCTTGTTTCTCTGCAAGCCGCATAGCTAGAGGATTTTGTTTTTGTTACTTTTTTTGGGGCTGATTCGGCGCATGTTTTTTGACCGGTACGTTGAAGTTTCCTGTGGTTCCAGGGATTGTATTTGAAGTTGATTTTAGTTTGTGCAAGTTATGTAGAATTTTTGAATATTGCAGTTTTGTCAGGGTATCTTCTAGCTTAGTTCAGTTCATAAGCTTTGTTTAGTTATTATTGTCTCGTTTGATTGTATTCGTGGAAATCTTTGATACTGAGTCATAGGTAACTCTTTATACTTTGTATAAAAGGATTATTACATTAACCGAGTGATTGTCATATAAAAGTACATGAGTATAGTGTTTAGAAAATGTTGATTAACTTATGTTTAATGGTCAATCAAAGAATTATGATGAAATATAAATTGCTCTCATTTAATTGCATTCTCACGACTCATTTATGTCAATAAAATCAGATTCCTTTGTTCTCAAATCTGTTTGCAATTGTTACTGGCATGCGAATAAATACTTCCCTGCATACAATTCAAAATGTACGATTGAATTGTAAAGTTCAGAGATATAATTACACTTTTTACATAACTTATAAATTCCGATCAAATCTGCATGGATAATTTAGGTTCCTTTTAGAGCTCAAGTCTCTTGGAATTAATTGAAAATCACATTTCTCGCAATTTGACGGATCCATAAAGAGATTAAATGGAACTTAAACCGATTTACCACTTTCAAACGATCGACAGACCTTGTATCGAAACAATGGCGGTATTGTTAACGAAATCCTTGTCCCTCTAACGAACGTTCGATATTACACGGGAATTTTCACTTCTGGTTATGCGGGCGTTCGTTTCCGTTGCTTTGAACTCGCTGGCATTCAAAACGCCCCGCAATTACAGCGCTAAATTCGTTTACATCGTTTGCAGTAATAATAACATTAAATTTACCAACAAGCACGATATCGGTTTTCGATTACCGTGCAATTATTCCCATAATTATTTCGACGTATTACCGCCGGTTTAATTTATATTTGCCGATTAATCATCCACGAACAAAGGCAGAGGATGCCTTTGCCAATTGGAACTAGTAATCAGTGTCGTCTTTAGCACGGAATAAACAGGGTATTTATCCCGGGGCCACGTGCCTAGAGAGTTCGGCCCTGAGTGACAGTTACCTTCACATTTCCTAAAACGTTAAACGAATATAATCCTAATAAAAAAAATATCTAATTTCTTTAACGTACCTTTGGAACAATGTTCAGTGTTTTCAAAATAAATTTAAAAATCAAAAATTTGATCAACAGAATCAAAGTGTACCGTGAAATGTAGTTTCCTAAAAAATAAAGGTTTCAATGAATATTTTATAGAATTAAATATATTATAAATTGTAATATGTCACGGGGCTCCGTAATCTCTAGGTACGGCACTGCCGGTATCCGTTCGATGTTCACTTCGATCGCTCGCGATTGCAGACTCACCGATATTCCGGTGCAGGACAAGCTTGAGCCACACAGACCAGCGACGTTGATTCGTCTTGCGCGACGTGGACCACGCCAGAGTTCTCGAGTATCACCGGAGGCATCACCCCTCTATGATCTGCAAGAAAATCATTCGAGATATGCGTTTAGAAGTCTGTTAAAAAATTTGTAAATTTTCGAAGAGCGGAGAAATCGAGTTATCGATGACAAAATGGCTACCTGCTATCCTCACGTTGGCCACAGAGCTCACCACCACTTGCCTAGTGAGGCGATGCATCGTTCGACATCTGTAGCCGTGAATTTGATCGCTGAACTCTAAACTGTGGACAAGAAGTTCACCGGTTGGCAGGAGGTGAAATTTTCCATCTGAAATGCAAACAACGGGGTGGAATTTAAAGCTTCGTCACTGTTCGTTAATAGTTTTGTCGACGGTTCAGATTCGTAATGATTAATTATATTTATCTTGTCAGATTTATCGAAGTTTGTGGGATAAAAATGAAAGCATACAATACGATTTTTAGAAAAGTATGTAATAAATCTGTTAGAATGAAATAAAAGTTAAATATATTACCGTTATATATACCGATTATTTTACTTCCTTTTGTTTTGCATTAAAGCAGATGGTTTATTTATAGATGAAATTATAAATTTAAAAGAATAATTCATACCATTAATTGTGGTGTGAATTAAATCAGTAAATTCATTACACGTTACTACATTATCGATTGCTGCTTCTTTTAGGTTATACACCTACCCATATGATCCAATGGATATTATTTCGATGTTCATAAATCTTCTAAGACTAAATTCTCTACTAAACACGATTCTGCAGATTATTCGGAGATAAAATTATTCAGAACACGATTCAACGTTCGAAAGTTTTGTTCGCGAAAACGGTAGAAGAATGTCTTGATCGCAAAAACGGCAGCTTATCGGACATGACAATGAACGTGATCGCTGCGTCCCTCTGGCGGCGGATAGCGGAACCTCCGGTGCACTATTTAAAGTGAGATACAACGGTCTCGTTCATTTGTCGCGTAGCACCCTTTCACTGCACTTGCGCATATAACGCGAAATTTTGCTAAGCTTTGTATTATTCATATCTGGCGTGCATCGTGATAATTGGTCCCCGACGTTTTCCAATAAACGCGGCACGAGGGTCTCGCGGAATTATCTTTAATAACTCGAGCGCCACCGATGTACACGAGCTATTGTCGGCGTGTTTCGCGATATTTTCGTCGGCGAACGGTTTTAACGTTACGATAATTATGCTAATTCCCGGATTTCCAACGGCCTGTTCCGGCTGACTGGCGGAGATACAATCTCTCTCCGACGTTCTTGCCCCGCGTGGCTTAAGCTCGTGCCCGTTCCTTAGATAAGCCCAGAGCAACGTTAACGACCGTAGTTAACCTAAACATTTGCAGTCGTTTCGCGAAAATCCTCGCTCGCCAACGGAAATCTTTAACGCAGTTCGCGAACACGCGATTATCTTTTACATAGAGAGGTCGCTGTTTTCGTTCCCTTTTTTCGCTGCGCATTGTTTCCTTCCCCCCACTCCCTTCTCCCTCTTATTCCGTTGGCTACCCGCGTTCGAATCCCGCGCTTTTTTTTTTAACCTCGTTTCCTATCCGTAGTTACTTTTTTATATTTGTTATTTTGCCCCGCTGCCTGGTGGTTTTTGTTCCCCGTTCGTTCTGCTCTTAATTGTCTCTTATTCGTCTCCAGTTTCGCTGACTCCTTTCTACCTCTCCCCCACCCCTTGTTTCCTTTTTCAACGTGAGCTTGAATTCCAACTTCTTTTATATGAAACTTCGGTTTGCTATAATACATCTTTTTATCTTGAAAATTTTTTTCACTGTTCTCATTACCGTCAAGCTGCATTTTTCTGAAGTCTTTTCAGCGATTTCTTATTGTTACGAATATCAATCTTCGTAATTTTATATCTTTTTTGTGGTTATGTTTGTACTTGTTACTTTCATTGGTCGTATTATTTTGTCAATTTTGTTATTTTTATTTAGCGATATATGGTTATATAATTTTCGACGATATTTCGTCGACGAATTATTCTTTTGGTTAACTTTCTTATTTCGGATGACTTTTATTCTCACAGTTACACTCTATCCCATTTGTCTTCATTCCATTGCTCTGCCATCTTTTGTTACTGTTTCCATCATTTTCCGCTATTCACAATCTCCACACCGTTATTTCTCCATCTTTTTCATCCTTTTCCTCTATTATAACCTAACATCCTCCGTACTTCCTATTACCCTACCCCCACCATTTCATTCTCCCTCCCCTCCCATATTTTTACCTTTGCTTCATTCACATTTTCTTATTCTCATTCTGAGAATCCTTTTTTGTTTGCTCTCGACTACCTTGATTCTTCAATCTTTCTCCCTTGCTAATCCCATCTCTCATATTTTTTATTTCCTTCACGTTCACATATCCATCTCCTCCATCTTATCTTTTCATCCATCCCCTACCTTTAACCATTTCCCTCCGTCACCCATTCCCTTTCTTCTTACCGAATTCTCCGCCTCCACATTCCCATTTTTCGTTTTCCGCATTGTCACCCCCTCTCCAGCCCGAGAAATTGTTTCCAACGTTCCCATAACCTAACCCTCCCACGCGACGTTCTCTTCCATTCTTGCCACGCACGCTTCGTTCCACCTCCCTTCCCGTGTCTTCTTCCCCACCACGCTCTATCTTTTCCTTCTCCGTAGCTTACTGGCTGGCATCGCTACCCAGAGTTCCGTGCACCGTTATTGCGTCTACGTGCGAGAGCAAATTCGGCTACGAGACATTAGCACAGCTAAGACCGGCTGAGATAAGCGGCCCTCCTAAATAGCGATTGTCGGCCAAGTCAGCCGGCTTGGATGGGTTATGTAGTTTCGGTATCACACTCGATGCTACCTATGCTCTGCCCGCTCGGATCTATTCAGCGTAGATAGACCGCGTATGTACGCAGGTACATACGAGATATATATATATATATACATATATATATACATATACATATATGTATATATATATATATGTGTGTATATATATATATGTATACACGAGGCGTATACAACAGAGGGGGAACCGCCAGTGACTACCTCGAATTACGTGCAGCCTGACCATGGCGCTATTAGTAAGATGGATATGTTACGCTTGCAGAAATACAGCGCCACTGGCGGCGAACAAAGGAAGCGTAATATTATGTAGGACACAAGAAATACGGGACAGCGAAATTTCCACGGATTCGCACTGCTGGAAAGTGAACGTTGGAAACTGTAAAGGATGGAGGAATAATTTGTTGGAATTATAATATTTGTTAAATGAATTAATAGCACCTGATTGATACTATAGCGTGAAATTAATTGCCGTCGGTGTAGAGGTTAGGACGGAGAAGGTTAAGTGATTTCTTAAAATTTTATGTGATATTTAAAAGATAAATGGATGATGTGGTTAAAGGATTTTGAAAATTGTGATTATTTATTTCTGTGAATCACAATGAAGACCATACATGAATTTCCAATAGAAAAATATCTGAAATAACGAGGGTGAAGATATCGAAAAATAATAAGTACATCCTTCGGCAAGGAATAAAAAAGGAAAATGGAGGAAAATGCATAACCGAAGACAAATTATAAAATATCTCCGTTCGAATTATTCATTCCGATTCGAATTACATCGAAATCCCTTTTCTCCTCTCTTTTAATACGCCGCGTATACCTTTTTATATTATTTGCCATTCGAATGCAAGCAATTAATTCGCACAATTTCCTGTCGATTTCTCTGAAAAACCAACGAAACGAACACTTTCGTTTAATCGGCGAATGTTAAATTCGCGCGCCCCATTTAAAAACTTTTTTCGCCCTGTTCACCGTGCGATTTTCCGTTCAAACGTACAATTAAATTGCGTACAAAAAACAAACAAAAAAACGATGGGGAAACAGGAAAAAAAAAATAAAGGAAACTAACAACGTGTTTGCACCCTGCGAACAATGAAACGGAGAACCGCATTGTACCCGATAGCGTTTTGTCTCTATCCGCGCGCGCATGCGCCATGGGATCCGACGAATCAGTCGCGAGCACGCTAACCTTTCGAGAGCCGCTGTTTAAATAATATGGCGACACAAAGACGAACACGATCAGTGTCGTTCGTCCGTGAAACAATTAAAACTTCTCGTTCGTTTCTTGTGACAGTTTTGAACGTGCTCGCGAGAAAACTTATTCGTATTCTCTTTCGAAGATAGAAAAGAGATTCTCTTTTATCGGCCTAATAGTCGCTGCGCGAGTGTACGTGTTCACGTGTATGGGATGAGGCGTACACACGGAATTAATTGCGGACTGATTCTGATAGATGTATAGAGATCGGTTTGATGGGTACATGCAGAATTAGAGACTTCTGGTTTAATTTTGTAATACAAAATGAGATATAAAAGGGAACATAGAGACTTTATAAAAAGAATTGTGTGTATTTATTTATAAAGTTATTAAAATATATAACATTCTGTAATTTGAAGACAAAATTTGGAAAATCTCGATATTTATAAATTCATGGATTCCTCAGCCGAAAGGATTCGTTGGTTTAGTTCTGATTTATTTTAATATTGTATATAGAGTAAGATATATACATTTAAAAAATTATTTAATTAAACAATTTTTTAATTTAATAATTTTATCTTATATTTTTTTTTCTATTATTAAACCAAATATATTAACAATAATAATTGGCTGAGATGGATTAGGATTAATTTCATACTGTTTAATTATTTTTCGTTGAGTTTTTAGTTATTAAAAGAGATAAGTTTCCATATTAAATATTCGTTCCTAACCTCAAACATGATTTAATTATCGAATTTTTACCAAACTGGAAATAAATATATTATTTGAAGTATTTCGAGTCGATGCATACGTTTATAGAGATTTATTTTACCATTCCTCTCCTGTTCAATTGTATTTTGTACGTGTAGTGTCTCGATTTATTTGAGGGTTATTATGATTCCGGTCAGAAAATAAGATTTCCGTCTAGCAGGTTTAGGGGAACGACGGAAACGGAACAGACAAAAGAACTCGGTGAAATTTAATTTCTCGAAGATATCCGGTACTCTGGACACGTACCCGTCTCGATTCGAATGATATTGTGGACTTTGTAGTGGATTTGTTACGTCTCCGTTGCACACTGTTTGCAGAAGCCGGTTCGTGCTCGCGAAGCGATTAAAAGATACCTTCTTTAAATAAATTAAACATTAAACAACTAATACTCGGAAGATTTCCAGATTGGTTCGACGAAATTGTGCCGTCGATCGTTATTAACGCAGGTTATGGACGGCAAATTGAAAGCTAAGACTATAGTCACTAAAGACCACCCGTCTCCCGCCGCGTTATTTCATTAGCTCGCTGCGCCATCTCTGGTCAGCGTTACATACTATGAATACTTGGAAAAGAAAATGGAAGGAAATTTTAATAAGATTTAATAATACTGGCGAAGAACAATATCGGGAATTAAGTATTCGTGCAAGGGTATATGATGTTTGAATATTTATTATCATCCATAATTCGCGATTTTATATATTATAAATTGATACGATAATATAAGCGTAAAACTGAATATTATTTGTATACGATAGATACCACTATGAGGATGCCCTCTAGCTCCGATCGTCAATCTAACCTAACCTAATCGACCCAAACATAGCTTAATCTAACTTTTATTATAACTTGTAATTGAGGAAGTAAATAAACAAACTAGAATTTGTTTCCTTAATGCAATTCTAAGTTGTTTCAAACAACAGTCTATTGAATATTTTACCGGCGAACCGATGTGAGAAATAAACATTATAAATGTAGAGGTAGGAAGACAATATTCGTGACAGTTTGATGCGTAGCAGCTTCTTTGATACTAGCCACCAGGGTGCTTTTAGTCAGAACTTTACTTTCCAAGTTCTTCCCTACATAACCTCAATTCTTTCAAATATATGCTTCGATCTAACATTAAACACTTCCGTATCTGAAACGGGTAAAGTTCAATGTTCACGATGTGCCATAAATTCGAGACCAGGATCGAAATAAAAAGTTTGATTCGTGGTAGAGTCTATGCTCTATTACTCGAGCAAATTTTACTTTACTACCTAATCTAATCTCACTTCTTTTAACACTTAACTCTTTGCACTCTGTGATTTTTTAAGAAATAATAATTCAAAGACTTTCTGCCACAAGGTTGACAATATTTTTCAAACGGTAATTAAGACTTGTTAAGAATTATTTTAGATCCTGCAATCAACATCCTGCGAACTTTGTTCATATGTATTTTATGCTTTATATCCTCGTTAAGATTTCGATATTCGATTGATCCCAATTTCTATTAAATAGATGATTTATCCCTATATCAGGAACTCGTGCGGAAGGGACGAATCTATCAATGGTAGTCGATACTATAGCCGGCTTAATGGTCATAGGGCTTTATAAATCAAGGGGAATGAAGACAGTATCCTTGACAGTCGCTTGATCAGTGGCGGTACCTTCCGCACTTGCCACCAGAGTGCTCTCCATCAGCCTCCTAGTCCCGTAAGTTTCTCTACTACGTCTTCGATCCCTTGCAACTGAAGCTTTGTTTGAAATGTTTGCAAGCCAAAGATATGGGTTTCTAAATAGCTGTGTTGACAAGTTTCATAACGGATAACGGACGAAACATGTCAAGGATCACGAGAGATTCGTCAGATTGGGATGCTCGGTGGTCTAGGGAGCGAAGTTTGATGAGCAGTGGGCTCCTAGGGGAATTTGGAAGATTGACCGCGGCTGTTTTAAATTTCCTTACATAACTAATGCTTGCACGAGTACATTTTATTGCATGGTATTTCCGGTTTCATCTAGAATCCATATTTAACCCCTTGACTACTGTGGGCGCCTATGGGCGTTTAGAAATTTTGCATTTGTGACACATAGTGCGCCTATAGGCGCTCTGCGTAGTTTACCTTTCTGACACGGAGGGCGCTTGTTTTCACAAAAATGGCACACATCGTCTCTCAATTCTTGTCGTATGGTATGGCCGCTATCAAAATCTGCCGTAGTCAAGGGGTTGACTGTCTTGGTGGTCATCGGTGACCGGTGCTTGTCTCCTCAGTTTGGCCATGGTGCTCACCATGGAAATAAATATATAGACCACCCAAAATCAAACGTCTTTTAATTATGCAGTTTTTCATAATTAAATTGTAACACAAAATGTTAACTTCATAATAAACACGTTCGCTGAAATAAATCGTAACATAACCTGACCTTAATCCGAGGTCGGCTAAACAATCAGTATCGCCGAGGAAATAAATGAGAAAAATAAATTGAATAGAACAGTATTACCGGGAATTTTAAAAATCTGAAAATCCGCAGCAACCTTTTCTCCACGGGGAACAACATTCACTGACCCCACACGACTCGCTAAATCGTAAAAGAAACTCCATCTTTAAAAGCACGCTCAGCCGGTAAGCGGTAAAATACGCTAAGCGCGTCGTAGAAAAAATTCTAACGAGGAGGAACAACAGTGGGGAGCGGAGAGGTGCGCCGGAAAGCCAGAGGTCCGTTAAAAAACAAAGCGACACGCGGAGGAATTTTATGTATCGCGCGATAACAGCCACGGTTCACGGCGCGCCAATATCTTCTGGTAGTGGGGGTACGGGCAGAGAGGCGAGTGGTGGGGGTAGGTGGCGGCGCGCGCTTTTTACGCTCGTCCTTTTGCACGGTCGCATAAAAGTTACGCCAGGTCCGGCGCTCCTCGTTGGAGAAACCGAACGACAATGGCCCGTTGGATTCCAGCCAGCACGGTATTTTTTCCTTTGGTTCTGTTATCGACGATGAATATGCTCGTCCCGATGGTCTGGTACAATTATAAAATTTGTCGAAACGCGGAGTGGTGGGGAACAAAGATGGACGGCGAGACAGAGAGGGAGAAACGTGGGAAGACAGAACGAAAAGGACACGGTGAGAAGGAAAATAATTACCGAGTCGAGGAGAACCGCGTAAATCGCGAAAAGATCGCGAGATCATCCTCAAACGGCATTAACAACGCCGCGTCGCGTCCAATTAAAAGGATTACTAATTAAGCTTACTAATTAATAGCGCGCGAACCGACGTGATATTACGTTTTAATTACCGGGTATCATCTTTTTCAATCCGTGTCGTCGCACAGGGGAGGTGGCTGCAAAGCAAGACCGTCCGACGTTCTTAAATCCAATTAATTTCTACGACTATTAATGAGCGAGCCGCTCGACCGTTACGAGGTCGATGTCCTCGACGATCTCGCCGCGACCTACGCCAACGCCGCTGCAAGGTGATGCAAGATTATTGTGGATATTAAATTTCACTGTACCGGCCGGCTGTACGCCCGTGGCCGGATATTAAATTTTAGTCCCAGTAAGCAATGCCGCCAGCCCGGGCATAATACTTCGTGCTACTCTCTACCTACGTGAAAATCGCCGCTAGACCTTGCCATCTCTGCCCCCACCAACGACCCGCCGCTAGTGTCTGACCCCGCACTCGTCGCGCCGGGGCTTCCCCCACCACCGCCGCTAGTCGAACGTGGCTGTGTAATTCTTCTTGCCTCGCGCTTCGCGCTGCATGCTTCGTGCACATATCGGCTCTGTTACTGCATCTGCGCCCGTGGAATGTCCCTTGGGCTTTTATTGCCGTCTCCTACCACACGAGCTCCGCGGAATATTACATTTTGGTAGATAGGCGAAATTATCGATTATACGATAGCGCGCCGCTTTTCATATAGAATAATAGCGCCCCGGCAGAGGGGGCGCCACAGACCCGAGCCATCGCGGCTATTAGCCGCACATATTCTTTCTCGTGTACGAGCTTTCACGCGTGTTTCAAAAGCGCGGCATTGGGGAAGGGACTGCCGCCGTTTCGATGCGTCTATGGATATGATCGATCCGGGGGGTAGATTAATGTTAAAAGGCACAGGCTTGGAGGGAACCGCGCGTTATCAAAGAGATTTCCCTTTGTCGAGATTGGTGTGCACGTGGCGGGATATCGAGGAGGTGAAAGTTTTCAGAGGTTGAAATGAAAGGAACATATCGCGGGTCCATTTTGGCTACGACGTGTGAATCACGAGAAAGATGGCTGAAATCAAACAACTCCCCGTGACAATGAAGTATCGAGTTTGAACGTTCGTCCATCTAAGTCGGATGGTTCGGATGATAGCAAGAGTCGAAATACCAAGTGTTCGTACCTATTGGACCTTAGTATCAATAGGTCTTTATAGGTATATTAGTATATTTCTATTGGGAATTACACGTGTTATTAATACACTTGAGATGACGTGCAACTATCGCGAGTAAAATCAGAAATAGGATATAAGAAAGAAAAACAACTTACCTCCTTGCAGAGAAGGATAAATGTAGAACGAGGGTTCCTGCAACCAGGACACTACGCGCACCAAATCTTTCACGAAGCTGGGAACGACGCATCGTAACACTGCGGTGCAACCCCTAGATGCACCTCCGATCACTTCCACGTCGACTTTGTACGCCTGGGCTACCACTGTGAACAGATAAACGTAAATTTACATTTACTCTCGCGTGTAATTCCGTGAAGAAGGTTTATGTGCCTCTGTCTTACTACAAATATCACGAAAACGTGGAATTGTCACGCGGAAAATTTATTTTTATTCCACGAATAAAACGTGGCTTCCTTAAAAAAAAAAAAAAATATTTTATTTAATTCGTAAGAAATTTCTTTCACATATAATATGGAAATATCTTAAATTACCAAATCGTGTAATTAAAAAATAATTCAACGATAGGTTCACGATATTTGCAGTATATCCGTTGGAGGCACGGGTCATGGTGGCGCTAGTGAGTTAAGTCGATAACTGTCTTAGACGAATATGGACTGTATATTCGTATTCTCATATTTTTCGTATGTAATAGACCTGGCATCGTGATACAAAGGCGCCAGAACGACTTTTCCAAATATTCACGGTTTTCCCCAAATCACGATATTTGCAGTATATCCGTTGGAGATACGGGTCACGGTGGCGCTAGTGAGTTAAGTCGATAACTGCCTTAGACGAATATGGACCGTATATTCATATCCTTATATTCTTCGTATGTAATAGACCTGGTATCGTGATACAAAGGCGTCTGGCTGATTTTTCCAAATATTCGCGGTTTTCCTCAACATATAAGTGATAAATCTAAAGCCTTAAAATTTATGTTCTCAATTGTCATAAAATAATATTGATTTACTATTTTTTCTTAATTATATCACTCAATTGCACCCAAATTTTCGACCTAGTCCTACCGAGCGACCGAAACAGACCCACGCGACGATGGCCTCCTGTGACGATAATTAAAACGCATTACACGCGATCTCGAAGAGCGCATCACACCTATCTCTCTCACACCCAAGACGCAAGCTCGACACGCGCGCGTAGGCTTACGTAGAGGGCGTGACGTCGTTACTCGTCGTCGACAACCGGGTGAATCTCGACGTCGGCGTCGGGAAGCGGCGAGGCGTGAGGCGACGCGAGCGTAACGAACGCCTCGTCCTCGACGTCTGCCGGTCGTTTTTCTCCTTTCCTTTTTTGTTTCTACCGTCGCCCAGCCGCTCGAGAGGCACTATACTCTTCCGGAGATTTTATTTACGTGGAAATTCCAAGGGCGACGGCCAGCTAGCGACGCTGCACCCGGCTCTGACACGCCGACGTCGCGACGCCGCTCCGAAGACTACCACCCCCCTCTGCCTTTCAGTAACACGCTGAATTTCCTTCCACCCTTCTCGTCTCCTGCAACCTTTCTTCCACCCAGAAATCGGCACCCTGTCTCTCGCTCGAACCCCTTTCTATTTCCACTTCGACCAACCACCCCACCACCGCCAGTTTTGTCCGTTCTCGCGACGCGACGTGTCAGGATGACCTGTCACGTTACCGGGTAACGATATTCGGTCAATTTTTCACGCCATTCGAATTCTCTCGAACACCTACCATCACGTACCCCATTACATAGTCGCAGCCGAGGAATTCGCGCTTTTCTAGGCCAGCTCGGGCAGGTGCCGAATGTTTTCGGTGCGTGATCGAACGGAGAGTGGGGGGTCAGCGGGAACCGTGACGCCGATGGAAATTCTTGTGGAAATGAAAACACTTAAACGCGACAGCCGTCGAACGCGATTCGAAATTGGAATCTAACTGTGCACTCGAAGGATGCGACGTTTTAGAGGGAAATCCGAGCGGCGTGATTGCACAGTGACGGGGGTTGAATAGGTTGATTGGGGTTGCAGAAATTTTGTGGTTCGTTGTTGACGGCGCTCGAAATGGGAATGGGGGAGTACGAATGGTTTGGGTCCTGGATTTTGAATGTCTGTTTTGTGCAGAAAGCTTCGAAATTATATTTTTGTGTATATTTTATTAGTGCCTTTGATATAGTCCGGACCATGATATATAGGGTAGCAACAACGGTAGTAAAATCGGTGGGGGATGATTTTTCGTGAAAAAAGAAATCGAAAATGAAGAATAAAATTTTTGCATTTGAAGCTTCGTTCTAGAGAAAATCGACTTTGAATATTTACAGAGAATGCGTGCATTTAACTTTAACTTAGCGCACTACTTTAACTTAGCACTCAATGTATATTCAAAGTCGATTTTCTCGAGAACGAAGCTTCGAATGAAAAAATTTTATTCTTCATTTTCGATTTGCTTTTTCACGTAGAATCGTGCACATATAGTATTTCTATATTATACTTTGTTCTCAGAAATTAATATTCCACGAAAAATTTTGACGTGTGAATGTCCTTTCCTTTTTTTCATTTTTCAAGCATTAAATATTAGAAGTGACCTTAAACTTTAAAATAGTATTTTTATATGATCGAAATATAGAAAAAGTATTGTAATCTTTTCGTTGATACTTCAGCGTTGATTACATTCGAAATTTTCAACGTTACGAACATTTTAACTAGCTTAAATAAATAAATATCGAAAATACTATAGGATAAAGTTATATTATACGTAATAATAATAAGAAAAGTAATTTTTATATCCCGGGTATTTAATTTCCGGTTTAATTTTGAAGCGCGTGTCTAATTTAAGGTAACGAGGATGGAAAGCTCAAATGTGTGGTGAGGAATAGGTGGGATTGAACAATTAGTCCGCGTACTAGTGCTTCTATAATCGAACAAATTGTACGGCTGTTTATGCCGGTCTTTCTAGCTGGCATTTGCATATGCAAATTAGGCAAATAGTCTTTGTGTTACGTTCATTTACCCAAGACGTGCTTTGTCTAAGGCGTGATACAAATTCCAAGTATTTCATTAAACACGAAATTACACCGAGCAGGCTATCTTTGAAACCGTTGTGTACCTTGCTTGTTAGAATACTACTTTATTCGAGAAGTATAATAGAACTAGCTGATAGAAATTGTTTGAAATTCTCTTATTAAAAAATACAATTTACGTGCAAATTTGTAGAAGATAATCTTCAGTCTTTTGAAACAAAAATCCGTAGATCTGGATGCATACTATATTATAGTACAGCATACTATAAAATGCACCAAGGATGTCAAACAAGAATTATTTATTAAACAAAATTTTGCCAAAACTACCCTAATGTCGTTAATGACTGTGAGGTATATTAGATGCGATATTAAACCAAAAAGAACGAGAAGAAGATTACTACCCCTACCATAGCTCTCTGAGCATTTACCATAAACGAAATACCATATTTAAAAATATTTCTTCAAGAAAAAGAAGAAGACAGCAAATAAGAGAATCTACCAAGCCATAAAAGATCCAAAATTTGTCATGGATCATAGTTTTCCAAGGATTTTTTCCTCGAAAGACGATTTAGTCAAGACCTCATAAAGGTTAACTCACTAGCGCCACCGTTGCTAACAACTACGCGCCCTCTGCCGTACTAACCCCAATTCGACCGATCAATTTAGACATCTATTAACCTAAACACGTTCGCTTCTCCTTTAAACCACCGAGATTGGTATCTATCCCGAAAACGGGGTACGTCGAGGAACGTGGTTTTCGGCGAAACAACACGGACAGGTTATCGACGGTGGCGCTGTAGTCGCCACAGGATCTCCTTCGTCTCCCGAACGTTGCAATGGGCCGCGAAAACTTCCGGCTCGGACCGAGCGAGCACAGGCCGGGATAGAAATTTCTTTCGTTAAACCGAAAGCAGGAAGTAAAGTTTTAATTAACGGCCACACGTCCGGGCCAGAACTTTATAGCCGCGAGGGAGTAGTTGGCAATCCTGAAAGCGTCGGGTCGACCTCGCAGCTGCCACGGATTTGCATTCAGATTGCATTTTTTTCCTCTTTTGCTTTTTTTTTCTTCCCCTCCCTTTCTTTCTTTTATTTCTCTTTTTTTCTTTTTTATTTTTTCTTTCTTTCCTTTTTTCTCCCCCTCCCCCCTCTCCCCCTCCTCCCCCCCATTTTTAGGAGGTAATTACACCGAGCTCGTCGCGGAGGAAGCCTGGCCGCGTCTCATCCGCATCCGGCAGGGTTTAAAACATCCTTCGTCAGGACTTGCCTGGATTTTCCTTCTTTCTTCCTTCCAGGAACGCGTCCCCTAATGATTTTTTAATTGGTGTCCCAAGTCTTTCAAATACACCGAGCACAATCAACACCTCTTTACCTCATACTGTACTTTTCTACGCTATTCGTAAGATTTTTCGAGGTTATGGTTGTCGATGATGGATATCGAAGTTGCTTTTTATTTTGATATTTGAGCAACCGTGTATAATATTTATAGGTATATAATAGGTATATGTATAATATGTATGACGCAATATAAAAAAATCGAAGATTCTAAAAATATCAAAAGCCTGATCCTAACCTAGGAACTTCTTACAGGAGAAAGTTTAGAAACAGGATTCTTTCCTAATTCAATACAGTAACAAATAATTTTGAATAAAAATACTTTAATCCGTTTGCAATCATCACTTTCCACCAACTGTGTGCACGTGTTCTGCGACTATGCACACTAGTGTTCTGTTCTTATGAATAAGAAATTAGAGCGCACACCTGTGCTTTGGTGATAATGTCCAGAAAAATTCCATGCATATGTGCGCTTATGATGCAAATGGATTAAAGGAGATATTCGACGAGCGATTTTATTAATAAAAATTTTCTTACCTGCTCTGACCTGGACGTCACGACTGAGCACTCTGCCAACGGAGTTGCTCGCGACGCACCTGTAGGCAGCGCTGTGCACATCCTGCCGGAAGGCGGCGGCCGCGAACGGCAGAAGGACCAGAGTGCCATTCCTCAGCACCCTCCGCACCCCCGGTACGTCGTTCACCGGATGTCCGTCCGCGGTCGACCAATCGATGTTGGGTGGTGGGCTTCCTGTCGCGGTGCAGTCCAGCCAAGCGCCGCTCGAATTTGAAAATTCCACCCTCGACGGCGGCTCCATCACGAAGCTTGGTCCGCGTAAATGCGCGTCGAAACCGTGACCGCTGGTGGACGTCACCGCCGCCGCTGCACCTGCGAGCAAAACGAAACGTTCACCGCTGGAAAATTCGCATAAATCTGCCGGCTGATTGCGGAAAAACCGGCGCCGCTCGCCGAATCGTTCAACGTCCCGACACGCGACAGTTTAATTGCCACGTAAATCCCGTTCCCTCCTCCATTTTTGCATATTTCCTCTCGCCCGGTATTCCCCCCACCGTTCACCTATGGCGTCGTTAATAAAACGTCAGCGCGAGAGGTTATGTTCGAACTGCTGGCTTCCTTCGCGCTGATTTTTGCTCCGATTAGGAAAGGAGGATGTTAAAAAAGCGCCATTTTTGGCATAGCCTGGAAATAGAAAGTTCCTTCGGGATTTTTAAGAGTATTTTCCAAGGAACAAAAAATTCCTTTATCACTTAACTCTATTATTAATTTCTTTATCCGAGTAATGGTAGTACAATCGGTAGGGCGTGATTCTACGAGAAAAAACAAATCGAAAATGAAGAATAAAACTTTTTCATTCGATGCTTCGTTATCGGGGAAATCGACTTTGAATATTCACCGCGAACGCGTGCACTTAACTTAGTCCAGCGTATACCAGCGTACGCAGTGGACATTTAAAGTCGATTTCCTCGACAACGAAGCTTCGAATGAAAAAATTTTATTCTTCATTTTCGATTTGTTTTTTCATATAGAATCATGCCCCACCGATTTTATCCTTACTGGAACACGCTATATTTGATCAATTTCATTTTCACATATTTCCACTCATTTTTGGCAACTTTCCCATCGTTTCTCGGCAAAATGATACAGGAACTTTTTGTTCCTTGGAGGGTGTTCTTAAAGATTCTGAAGGAATTTCCCATTTGTTTAAAACATCCCTTTTTCCGGTTTTGGAGTTATTTATTCGTTTAACAGTCGATGGACAGGAGATTGATTTAATGTAAGAAAATTATGTATAAGTTTGTCGATAATGCGTAGACATTTGTAAACCACATTATACGAAAACTACGTTACAAACTTGAACACTAGAAATCCTAAAAAGAAAATAGATAAAATGAACGAATAAATCGTTAAAAACGAGTTATTAAATTTCGACGTTGGCGTTGAAAATAGGTAAAATTATCGAATTAGAATTCTCGAATAATTTCAAAATGTAACCGTGGAAATGATAAAATATCGAAATTTGTGAAAACTCAAATATTCGTAGCTAATTTTCCTCGCGAAATGTTAGGCGCATAAAAGAAACGTGGCGCTACCTGGCGGCCGCTCTCACGGGTCGTCGGTTTCACTGTGGAACAGTTAGTCGACTTTCGGAATTGATTAAACGCTCCGGTTATCGCGATTCTCGAACGAACGACGGGTCGGCACGTAACGGGCAAGTTATCCTACTCGAGGTGTATCAGACGCGCTGTACTTCGACATAATGCTTTGATCGGGGGTGCGAAAACACGAGTCAGCAAGTACTCGGCTCTTGCATCGTTAGAAGCCACTTCAAGCTAATAACTCCGGCCAGGCCACTCCGGCAACTCGAGAGTACAGTTTAATTGTCGACGGTATTCGTACCTCGCTGAAAGAAACTACGAGTGGAGTTCAATTTAAGGGGGTTAGAGATATAGGTAATACATCTTCCTCTTCGCGTTGCAAACACACGGAAACGTAGGTATCTATATTACGGACGAAACATTTTTTTGTTATTATTCTGTGTCACAGATGTATTTGTGAGATTTATCAGCGAGTCATACATGTATATGTAATCTTCCAATTTGTAGTTCTCTTCAAATAATTGATAGCGTTTCGTGATAGGTAAAAAGTTAGAAGTTTGGAGTAACGATCGTTAGGAGTTAGCAATTGGAGGGATACGGATATTTATGTGGCCCAATGTATATGTAGAGTGGCCTACTTAGTCCATAAATGCTCATTTGGGAACTACGTGAAACTAGAAAATTCTCTTTTGGGGGTTAAAAGAAGATAGAGAGTAATACGAGATTATTAAACTTGTACGTTTATATCCTATCATTTTATAGATAAAAGTACACGGAATGTTGTTTCACACTGCAATTTGTATTGCAAAATACTGAAATACTTAATATTTTATTTCATTAAATTTTGCATCGTTTTATAAAAATATTCTCATTTCCAAGAACCTTTCACCTCGATTGAATCATCAACGCGCGTTGCACCTCGTTGTTCGAAGCTAGAAATAAATTACAGAGCCACGAAAATGTTTTACACAAAAGTTATTGCAAAAAATCTTTACAGAAACGTACGCTTTCCCAGAGACCTAGTTTCAGCCATTCCCGATTGACAGCGCCGCCACGCGGAGATCCGGTGATAACCACGATCAAAAGAAACCCCGTTCCACGTCTATCTCCGTGTCAGAATTCCGGTCGTTCGATTTTAACGAAGATCGTGACTCCATCAGAGCACGCAAAGCGTACGTTCTAAAATTTGCGTATCGATCGCCGCTGCCCGCGTGTTAATTAAAAATTCATTTATCTTAAATTCAATTTCCTCCGAGTACGAAGCAGGCGTGCCCGCGCACACGCGTACACACATCCCTGGCGAACGTTAGGGTGGAGGGGGTGGAGGGAGGGGGAGAAGAGAGAGAGAGAGAGGCATCTCTAAAAATCTGCAACCAGGCGAGCAGAAAGAAAAAGGTGAAAGAGCGAGGGAGAAACAGAACGCGCGGAAAGTAAGGAAGAAAAAGACAAAAAGTCCGGCGACGATGACGCGAAATTAATTTGTCTAATAAAGGCGTAATTTTCGAAGCGAAAGAGCATGTCCTGCTATTAAAAAGGAGCACAGCCACTGGGTGCTCGTGAACAGAAACCGAGAGATGGAACGATATTGCATATCTCTCTGGCATCGTCCATAAGTGAAGAGCGG